TATAAACTTTTTGCCATAGATGTACGGATGTAGCTTCTCGATAGCCCATTTAATGGCTAAACATTCCTTCTGTGTCGTAGGATAATTACACTCACTTTTATTAAGCTTTCGGCTGATGTAGCATACGGGATGCTGTCTTCCGTCATTATCCTTTTGAAACAGATAGCTCCTAATCCTACATCGCATGCATCTGTGTGTATATAACACATTCTTTCTGGGTCAGAATGACTTAAAACTGGTGAGTTACATAGACTTCCCTTTAATCGTACAAAACTTTCTTGTTCGATATCTCTCCAAATGAATTTTTGATTGGTTCTAAGTAAACAGAATAATAGTGTAGCGATAGTCGAGAACGTGTACGCCGCCGTGTCGTTCAGTTGTAAGAACTGAGTAGTTAGAACAATGTCACGTAAAAATTTGGAAGAATTTTTAAAAATTTACAAGAGCGAACCATGCCTTTGGTACATTAAAAATAAAAAATACCACAATAGAAGCAAGAAAGAAGCTGCTTATCTCCGTTTAATCGAAAAACTAAAAGAACTAAAGCCAAAGGCCAATAAAGAACACGCTATAAAAAAATAAACAACATCAAAAGCGCATACAGAAAAGAAATTAAAAAAAATTAAAGCATCAATCAAATCAAGAGCAGGAACTAATGAGATATACGTACCTAACTTGTGGTACTTCAAATTATTAAGGTATGCTTAAATTTTTAACAATAAAATAAGACGAAAAATTAAGCAATTTATTTAGTTCTTTGTATTTTAAATTTAAATTAGGTTTATAGATGATCCAGATACGCCTCGAAGCATATCTGGATCATGCTTCGATGCTCCAACATAAATAGTGACTATCATACTGACATTGAGGTGTCGTAAAATTTGTTTTTTTTTAATATAATACTTATTTCATGTCTTTTCTGTCATAAATAAAGATTGATATATAAATATTGTTAAATAAATTAATATGTAATTGTAAATTTAAGTATATATGCAAAGTTAAAAGAACAAAATGTTTATTATTTTAATAGCAATACAATTTTTGATTCAATTACAACGTTGATAATGTTTAAATAAAGTTCAATTGCCACGGAATTTGGCCATCATTTACAAAATAATCTATAGATTCTTCTCTCGTTTTTTTGCAAAAAACTCGTGATTCCTAAATTATTTGGAACCAATCACATCATTTTTGAGTCTTCTGTATTACATCCTGAAATAGTAGTTCCGCCATCAGTATTTTCGTGATCGAAAAATTGTGAAAAAGAATAAAAACTTGGCACTGATTTCATTAAAAAGTTGTGCAAAACGCAACCTCACCTCACCTAACCTAACCCAACTTAACCTAACCTAACTTAACCTAACCTAACCTAACCTAACCTAACTTAACCTAACCTAACCTAACCTAACCTAACCTAACCTAACTTAACCTAACCTAACCTAACCTAACCTAACCATTACAACTGATTAAATTTTATGTGGTTGTAAATTAATTGCCGTGTGAAATATTCTAAATCTCGATGCCAAAATACCAAACGCATTCTCAACAATGAGTCTTGTTCGTGATAAGCGATAATTATATATTTTCCTATCTTGGGAAATGAAATCAGCTTTCGAAACGGTTTCATCATGTCTACCCTCAAAGAAAAGGCATCGTCAACTACAAATACACAGGGCATACTTCTACCACTGTTTCTGACTTTACTTTCAATAGGAATGTTTAACTTATTGTTTTCAAGTTTTTCAAAAAACTTGGTGTTTTCTAGAACACCTCCGTCTGAAACTCTACCATTGGTACTAAAATCACACATGATGAATTGATATTTCGCATCCACAATAGCCAGTAAAACCATGCTGTGTCTTCCTTTGTAATTATAAAATTCTGATCAACTTCCACTTGCAGGAATAATGTTGATATGCTTTCCATCCATTGCTCCGAGGCAATGCAGAAAATTCCATTTTTTTTCCGAAAAGCTAATAAACGAAACTTTGTTTCAAGCGGAGATGGGAACTTTATCGCATAAATTGATGTATGAAGAGCAACACTTGCCACATCAATTTATTCGCTATCAACCACCAATTTCTACCAGTTTCGGTATTATTAATCCCTCTTCCAGCACTTCCGTTGAACAGTATCAGGAGCAAGAACAATATCAGAAAGGATAATCTTAATTAATGATCACCATGTTAAAATGACATAGTTTCATTTGTTTTAAATTTTAATTATGTCATTCTACTTTCTGATATTGTAATTTGTATATGTTTATATGTAATATGGCATTTTTGTACAATTTTATGACAATAAAAATCTATTAAAAAGAAAAGTTTGTTCTTACCTTTAAATAATTTTTTTGAAGGACTTTGTAAATAGCATCACATGTTTCAGGTATGATATAGCCAAGGGCTTGAGGTGATATTAATGTTGAAAATTTGAGATCTTCAAAACTTCTGCCAGTTGCCAAATATCTTAAGGTGTCGTGTGGTGAAATTGCTGCTCGCATTACGGTATCTTGTTTTTTTATAATTGGTGTAACCAATGATAGATTTAAATACGTTTCTTCGTCCATTCTTAAATAGTTGTGCCAATCTTCAGGTACTAACTTCAATTCTGAGATCAGGTTCACATGGGAATACGATCCTCTTTTTTTAAGCCACTCTTTACACCATAGACGTCTACACATATGTATTTTATCGCCAGTTTTAATAGAATTATTTGTTGCCAATAGATATCCAAGAAGAGCCAGTATGTTGTCATCAGATGCCATGGCCGATTGACTGACTGACTGACTGACTGATTGACTGAGAGACAATGGCGTAGCGAACATAACTGGTGCCCGAGGTACGACACTATATTGGCGACCCCCTCCCTCGCCTCTCCCCTCCAGAACAAAACTTGTTTTTCTTGGAGACCATTTGGCACCCCTCTGCGAGTGGCGACCGGGTGACGTGCCCTTCTTCCCCACTCTAGCTACACCTCTGTTGAGAGCTTTTCTTCTTCGTTTGTGGGCGATAGGGAATTCTGAAGTTCCTCAAGGTCAGGCAGTTTCAAAGGATTAACTNTCTTGGAGACCATTTGGCACCCCTCTGCGAGTGGCGACCGGGTGACGTGCCCTTCTTCCCCACTCTAGCTACACCTCTGTTGAGAGCTTTTCTTCTTCGTTTGTGGGCGATAGGGAATTCTGAAGTTCCTCAAGGTCAGGCAGTTTCAAAGGATTAACTTAATGTGTATAGCCGCCTTAAGAAGGATCGAAGTTTTTTCAATGTAGTAGGTACTTTTATTTCAGTAATTGCCTTTACTTTCTCTGGGTCGGTTTTACAACCTACATCTTCAACGATGTATTCCAGAAACTTGATATGATTAGCGGCAAATACACATTTTTCAGGTTTAGCTTTCAATTGAGCATTTCTAAATCTTTCGAACAGTTCGTTTAGTAATTTCAAATGTGATGGGAGGTCTTTAAAAAATGTTGAATTATTGTAATACTCCTAGAAGTGATATACGATCCTAGTGTCAGCGTTTGATGGGAATACCAACGAGAGTTCTGCCAACCCGTGCAAACTCACAAAAACCTAAAATACTACAAACTACAGCAGCGAAACTTAGGCCCAAAAGGGAGAAAAATAAGTTGTGCGGAGACCGAAGTACCAAGCCTAGGACTTTTGATTCTGCGGGTCAAAATGAGTTGTATCCTAAAAATGGTAGAAATTGGGCTGCAGCCAAAGTAATTGCACCTCGTCCTCGTTCATTTATACAGTAATTAAAACTCGGTAACGAATTTCTTCTGTAGGTTGCAGAATAAATTCGTGGTTTATTCGTCCGAACAACTTGTCTGAAATTTCTACAGAAACAGTCCAACCAGTGAAGAAGAAATGACTGTCAGAGAAAACCAAAGATGCGATTGTGATGGATGTGCAGTTCTTTCCGCCCTGTGGACACTTAGAGGGCCTCTTATAGCAAGTCCATTATGGGTTCGACCAAGCCCACAATGGGGCGGCTGGGTGATTAGGGACGGGCTCAACATATCCAAATGAACCACCCCGGAAAAACTTCTGGGAGTACGTGATACAATATACTATATATATCGGGTAATGTCGACTTAGCCTATCTATCTAGCAGTCGCGAAAGAGAGAGAGAGAGAGAGAGAGAGAGTTTACAATCGTTCGCCAGTCAGGAAATACCTGCATTGAAGACGATGCTTCTTAATTTGGATTTCGTAAGGACTCGGAGGTCTAGGGTCTTGAGGTTGGTTGTCGGGATTTGGATCGTTCGGGACAGGTCGAAATCGAGAAAGTTCTTCTAGGCACAGTTGAGGGTAAAGTGAAAATCCGATTGAGTACGATTGGCAGACAGAAAAGTTTCGATGTCTTTAATCTTAGAGGGACTGGCGCCGCTGCCGATAGTTGGTAGTTAGTTGTTATATTAAACGACGAAATCGGCAGAGCAGGTCAGGAAGACACGAAAAAGCGTCTTAATAAACTGTCAAAAGTTAAAAGAATATATACTCCCAGGTGAAAAAGTTGATGTTACGACGTTGAATTGTTTGTGTTGAAGTCCGGATTCTCACAACGTAAACGATAAACATTACTTTTTCTTATGTCGAAATTCCATATGTATATTGAATCACTATGACTAAATGAATAAAACGCACAACGCAAGTTATCGTGAAATTTATTAAATCAATTTTAATCATTATTAAACAATATTGTTCAGTTTTAAAAGTTTGAAGCCGAATTTCTTCAGTTTAGACCAAAAACATTCGAATTGAAAGAATTGAATTGCAGGTTTTTTTTTGTTGTTTAGCGATTCTTTCGTGTTTTACACAATTGAATTACTCACGTAATGTTCTTTTAGCTCACCGACAAAGACTGCAGTTAAAACCGAAGCAAAGTAATTGAATGAAGAAATTTTAAGCTTAAAATTTCTTCATTCAATTACTTTGCTTCGGTTTTAACTGCAGAAATTTAATTGAATGAAATAAGTAATTGAATGAAGAAATTTTAAGCTTAAAATTTCTTCATTCAATTACTTTGCTTCGGTTTTAACTGCAGTCTTTGTCGGTGAGCTAAAAGAACATTACGTGAGTAATTCAATTGTGTAAAACACGAAAGAATCGCTAAACAACAAAAAAAAAACCTGATGGAAACTGCAGTCTTCCCACTCTCACAAAACTCCTTCAAATCCATCAAGCTCATGTGCAAATTCCGTGCAAATCTCTCCGAGTCCGTCGAGGAGTCGTTTATGAACGAAGAAATGAAAAAGTCGACATGACCCTCCTGTGGATTGTACGAACATCCGTATCCATCGGGCATCACAGGACCGTATCCAACTAAGATGTAGTAGGTCGTGGGAAACTACAAATGCCAATCATTTAATACCCTTCTACTCGTTAATACTTAATCAATGCCCAAAAAAGATGCCTGACCTGACTGGTCGCTAAGCGGAAATTCAAAAACTCTTTGTAATAATCTGTTTCATAAAGTGCCGGTTCTTGTAAGCCGTGCAGAGCAGCCATTTACTTTAAGCATAGTAGATGGTTATCTGGTCCTTCTCCGTTGATTGTCTGAGCAATAACACATATTATCACAATTATTAAATTGTTAAGTAATTCTGTTGATTCATTTACGACTTTTTACTACTTACATAAAGAAGGATTTCGGTTTGTTTTTCACGGCTTTTTGGAATTTCTCCCATTTTTCAGTCTATAGATATCGAACGAGACAATTTGAATAAGGTTTATATGACAATCGAGAAATTTGCATTCAACTAACCTGACTCAGGGAAGGATCTAACATGGACTTTGAGAAATCCAAAGCCTCTTGGCTGGAAGCGCGGATGTTGTCGACGCGACCGAATCTGAATTTCCTCAAAGCTCCACTTTCGTAAGTGGCCGTCACTTTGCCATGCGTTCTGACGAGAAAATAACACTATCGTTGTTTTGATTACCCTGAAATAGGCATTAAAAGAAAGAGAATCGTCGTTTAAACAAACCTGAAGTATGTCAACTGCAAACACAACAGAAGGAACACATCCGGATTGATTTCGTGTTTCTCCGAAAATTCTTTGCCGTAATCGATAAAACTAAATTCATTAAGTTCTAACGTGTCGATCATTCTGAAAATAACGTCTATAATGAATATTTGTTCGTGCCTTAAACCAAAATTATTTTAAAGATCAGATGAAACTGTGTTCGAGTGAAAAATAAATTATAAAATCTATTATATAATCGAGATGGGTTGATAATAATAAAAATAATAATAATAAGCGCAGAGCCCAAACGGTTAGGAGTTGAAAATTGAAATTTGGTACACAGTTAGGGTACGTTAGGAGAACGCACACTAAGAAGGGATTTTTCGAAATTCCTCCCCACGGGGGAGAGGGACAGGATATGAGCCCAAACGGTTAGGAGTTGAAAGTTGAAATTTGGTACACAGTTAGGGTACGTTAGGAGAACGCACACTAAGAAGGGATTTTTCGAAATTCCTCCCCACGGGGGAGAGGGACAGGATTAAGGCTTAACACTTCCATCAACAATGGAAGTGTTAAGAAACAATGGAAGTTTTAAGTAACAATAAAAGTTTTAAGTAACAATGAAAGTGTCAACAATGGAAGTGTTACGTAACAATGGAATTGTTAAGAGAAAGCGATGTGCAAGACGCAGATGCAGTTTTTTTCGTTTTTTGCGGGAAATCGAACATATTTTTAGACCCATCTAAAAATTCTCTAATTAGTCTGGAAAAAAGGGGACCCAATTCTTGCATTCTGTGAAAACGGGTAAGGTTGACTGTAACGTAATAATTTTTATCTTAGTTATCGTTACTTTTGCCCGAGCAACGCCGGGCCCACCTGCTAGTAATAATATAAATTAAAATAATGAATATTTTTAGAAGTGGCATTTGTCGAAGGACTTCTTAAAAGAAAGGAAAATTGAGACAAGATTGTCACAACGTTTGTTTCTGATCACAATGAAATTTCTCTCGAGAAATAATAATATTTTCCGCAACATTTTTCGATCGCAAGAATCAAAAGAATCTACTAAATGGTGGATCGAGATCTAATTATGACAATTTTCTGTAAATGAAAGCCTTTTCAAGCATGAACACTACATAATTAGTGATTTTACGTGTTGTTTTACTTCTAGTTATTTTTGTCTCATAACTTGTTAGCAGTTACGATACCAAAGACAGGCAAAGCGTGAACTGATGTTTTTGACTCGTCAATAAAAATTATTATTCGCGGATCGTTAAAATTACAGTATCTTACGCGTCTGTGACGGCAGATGCATTTTTGATCTCTTTTGCCAGAGATTCGCTGATATTCCACTTAAGTCTTGTAACTCTCTCCGTTTCGTCATCTGATCGCAGAGGAAGTCTCTTTAAGTTTTTTTCCTGCAAGTAGATTAAACACTTCACTTCCATTTCTTATATTTAATTCGAGATACGAAAATATCTTACACGAAATCCAGGAATTCTTCACAGAATCTTAAAACCTCAATCCCTTCCGACACCGAACGTTCGATCACAATTCCATTTACACCATTTTTGGTCACGATAAACTACAGAACGGAAAGAGTAAACAATCGGGCATCGATTTATCTATAACTTTAATATGCAAATTAGATGAATATATTTTATTTAGAACTTTCAATTTAATTATGTTTAAATTCAGTTTTAGGCAGAAGTAAAATGATAATGTGGCTAAAATCAATATAGAAATTATTTTTTCTTTTATGCCAATATACAAACTGCTGGACACACTTCGATTAGAATATAAAGAAACTCAACTTTACGAAACAGAAAACATTCAAAATATAAATCGCATTGTGAGATTATTTCTGTGTTTTTTACATATTACAATTTATGTTTGGATTAATTCTCTGGTAGATATATTTATTTAGATCAAATTCTATTCCACATGAAGAGTCCCTCCAGAGATTTTAAAATGAAAGAGTACGATTGAAAATTATCGACTTTTTCTGTTACTTGTTTGCATTGAATAAATTTTACCTGAATAAATTTATCGAACCATCTTTTACCCGTGGAATGTCTGCTTTTATTGCCATGAAGGATGTGGTGAGCCATATCTTCGAAGTAATAGCTTTTCGATTTTGTGTCTTTCCTCAGATCTTCGATCGATTCGTCCATGCACACCACAAACAGACAATTTTCAATAATCCGAACGGACTCTTTATTATTTTCGTCTGCGTAATCGTAAATTTCAGTTAAAGATCGAAGAGTTTTAATATCTAAGAAACTTTAGCTTTGATCTCACTTTTGATCATTTGTTCTCTTATACTCGCCCATTCTTTTCGATTGAGAGCCGTGAGAATTCCCACTGGCGGGTAGTGTGGCTTCTTCTTACTTAACGCTTCTATTTTCTTGAGCTCTTTTATGAGAGCGCTTTCACTTGTATAACTGTCTATAAAAGAAGTCGCCTCCACTTGAAATAACTTTTAAATATTTTAAAATACAATTGTGAAAACATCAGCGTGTATCAATTTAATATTTAATAAACGCATTTAAATTAGAATTAATTAAGTACGAAATGTAGATCAAATAAAGAAAGTATTTTCTTAACACTGGAATGGTTCTGTGGTAATATAAATAATGAAAATCACAGCATCTTCGAGAATATACATTTACTAATTATTTCAAATAAGCTTAATACGACACGTATTTACTACAATATATCTATCTATCTATCTATATATATATATATATAGACCCTATATATATTTATACACTACTCGATGTATTTTATTAAAATCGATATATATGTAACCTCATTGAAAAGTCTTAGACAAACTTTAAAAGTAAGTCAGGTATAAACAGACAATCTTTACCAAGCCGTAATCGCAAGTCGGAGTTGCTCGAAAGTATAGAAAAACGACGCAGAAAGGAATACACATAAGGTATACATTATTTTATTACATCACTCGGGTGGTGTTTGAAGCTACATGTTTCCAGGTAGAAATTGTTCTTTATTTGTATTCTTGATTTATTTTTAAACTGTCTGAAATTTTCGAATCAATCTGTATATACCTGGCATCTGACGGAGGTCGACGTTAAAATATTATGGCTTTGTTTCTGTCGATATGAACAAAACATTATAGGCAAGAAAGTCAGGTAGTTTACAATAAATGTCCAGAAAAGTGCGTTGAAATAGATAGGCAATGTTTATAATACTCCTAAGTGATCATTGAAAGAGAAGTAAGTTTACTGTACCTAAATAATTGACTGAAAGCATTAAATGGAAGTCTTTGAGAAACGAGAGGTTCTACTAAACAATGTACATTCTGAAAATATAGGTGAAAATACATCTACGACTGGAAGATAAAAAAATATCAAGACATTCCTCTAACGACTTAAAAAGAAAATTGCCTATTTTGATGTCGCAACAACTTCAGCGAAATTGTTTTTCTTCTGATATATATGTAGAATACTTGTTTACCATTTTGTGAGACTGTTTTAATTTCTAATATTTCACAAATATAGGCTAATTCTGTTATTTACTTTAATAGAGACATAAAAAATCATGAAAGTATTCGTAGAACGTTCATTCAGTATGGTTGTAAAAAGAGTCCCAACTGTGTTTCAAATTCTAAGAAACGATAAAATTAGATTGGAAAAAGAAAAAATGGCAGGTGTGTACAAAGTACCATATGAAAACATGCAGTTGGGGATAGAGAATAATTTACGGCAGTGGTTGGTGTGTTCCCACCACCATTGACTCATCAATCAATCGTACTTCATTCTATTATTTTTATATAAGATTTCTCGTAAGTAGAGAATTGGGAATTCGAAGCAGTGATGAGTGTCCAATAGAATAAGGAAGCTAAATCCACCAGAAATTTAAAAACTAATCCTGTGGTTCACAATTAAACGATCAAGAACAAACCTTGGTTCCATATTACCACTTTTTTCCTGCTAATTAAAATCGTCAATTTGTGTATAAAAATAATAAATGTAATAGAGTAAAGATTCCCAATTGGGTGGATATGGACGAAGGAAAACATCAGATACTTATTGTATTTTATCGCGAATTTCAAGTAAGAATAATAAATATCACGTGGAGAATTCATGTAATTAACTGATTAAATAACTTATTCAGTGTAATTCGAAAAATCATGAAAAATAACATAATAATTTTAAAAGAATCGACTGAAATGCATATTTTTTATATGGGCCAATGCAAGAAAACGACTGTGAACCCCTGTAATAGTGTAGCAGTACACGTAGAAATGTTTCTAATAAGCCTATAGGGAAAAATTCAACGTAATATGTTTCATCATAAAAAGGCAACTTAAAAATCGGAAACTTATAAAGACGATAAATGGCGTTTTCTTCTTCCTCATTACCTGATTGTTACACGCCACAATGAAATATCGGCCGCCTTCACTAAAAATGTGCTCGTCTTTAATAGCGCCTGGTATCCTGTAAGCCGTGAAGAAGTGACGATACGTGGCCATGGAAAGTGCATTCTCTTTTTCTTGACTTACAGCAAATTCTTCTTTTAACTCACCTCTAGAATAATTCAATGAAACATTTTAGTCACAGTTTATTTACAGTACAGAAACTTTCGTGTAAATACAGTAATTGTTTTCTTGCTATTAAATTCTGTTTACCTGTCAACTCTTTCCTTGAACATAAGCGAAAATATGATAAATGTCGCTATGAAGCTGAGAAATAATCCACAGCCATCGATAAGACAATTAGTTAAAAATGATTATTTTACGAGAAACCATTACCGAAATCTTTCGTCATCCATATTGAATTCTTGTTTCGGCAGCAGTAAGAAGGGACTGGAGTTGATGGGGAGAGGCAAAGGATTTTTCAAAGTTTCTTTCAGCCAGAATTCGGTCACCTGCAAAGGCGTTTATTATTATTTCTAGTGAAAGGGCATGTCGAAAAAGAAGAAAAACTCACGTAATTTTCATGGCTTTCTGCATATTCCTTCAAGAACCCTTGCAGCTTTTGCATTTCTTCCGACGTTTTATAATCTTCGATTAATCTTCGAGCTTCCTCGTATTTGTCACCCGGGACAAATGCTTTGATTCCTTCCAAGAATCTGTTTAGAATGACGGAGAGCTCGGGAACCGACGGCTTCGGCAATTCCTACAAGGGAAAATGATTTGTCAAATGTAAATGCACCATGGTTCTCGAATGCATCGTCAATTACTTTACAGAATATAAAATCGTTTATCATAATTGATGATTTAGACTCACACTTTCTTTCATTGCAGACATTTTTTCTTCGTTTTTGTACAAGGAGCTCGAATTGCAACAATTTGCCGAACACTTTTGTTAAAGTTGAAACAATGAAAATATTTCGTTGCACAATAATCGTTGATGATATTAATACAAAATTGAAAAAATAAATTTATAACTTTCAAGATCTATTTTGTACATTCAACTGTTGTAATTGACGTCAATAAAATTACTTTAAAAAATTTTTTGTTTGTATATGACACGTGTGTGATCTGAAGAGGTAATGCTTCCCGTGAGGACTTTTTATGAGAAATTGGACTCAATTTAGGTGTTATAAACGTCAAGAAAAGCCAAAAACTTCACATGGACAGCCCGTTGTCCAAGTGCGAATCTGCGACCAATTACCACTGTTCGTTAGTTTTATTCACTCTGTCACTTGTTGGCTTAAAATTTGTCATTTCCTTTGTAGTGTTATAAATGGGCCTCAATTTGAAAAAATTGTAGACCTGTAAAGTAGCACTGTTGTCGGTCTATTTCGTTGGCTGTCTGCCCTTCCTTAATCTCGAGAACAGAGTTCGATAGATGAAATACGAAACCAGACGTAGAGAGATTAGTGACTGGAAGTCCGTATATACGAACCTTCGAACCTAACCGGAAGTTATGTTAAATCAATTGAAAATTTTCCCCGAAAGGGTTTAGATAGAGGACTGGCACTCTATTGCTAACAGTAAAAACTGACGTACAGTACAGGTGCAAGACACTACTAATTCCGGGTAAAGAGTAATTTATCATTAATGTACAAGAGATGTAATTCTTAGGTTACTCAAATATAGTGAAACCTCGCTTAACGAGTGTAATTTGTTCCAAAATCTTCCCATATAAATTAATGTAAAATACGATAATACGTTCCATGCCGAAGAAAATACTCAAATATTTAATGTATAACGTTTATGCAATGACAATAATACAATATATATTGTTAAGGAGCTTGAATCATCATCATCTTTTCTTCTAGCACGGAATAAAGCAAACTAGAATGCGAATCGGATTTGCTGAAAACAAAAAAAATCACAGATAATATTATCTGTGATTTTTTTTGTTTTCAGCAATTTATGTCTGATTCCTCTTGGCCAGGCGTCTTCAGCATCATACTGAAACTAATAAGATCATTCACCCTCAACAATACGGATTCAGAAAATTGAAAAGCACTACCTTGGCCCTCCAGGAACTAGTAAATACCATAATGGAGTCTAAGACAAAGGATCAACACACCCTAGCAGTATCCATAGATATAAAAAGAGCTTTTGATCATGCCTGGTAGCCTGCTATAACACTACGTTTTTGCCTTAAAGTACATTAAATGCTCTTCCAACATTCTAGGGCTTCTATCCAATCGGCAAGCTAGGCTGGGCTTACCAGGCCACATGACCACTAAATAAATCACAAGAGTTTGCCCCCAAGGGTCGAGTTCTGGCCCCCTTCTTTGGTTAATACTGTACAACAGCTTATTATGCATACAAGACAAGACACATGAAAATTTGAGAGCTAAGATAATAGGGTTTGCCGATGATACCCTCGTACTATTGTCCCATAGGAACCAGGAAGTTCTTCAAAGAGAGATGAACCAGTTTCTCCAGATGATACAAGACTGGACTATTGACAATAAACTTATCATCAATACTAAAAAATGCCAATGTGCAGTGTTCCCGAGAGTGAACCCACTCTACAATAAGCCGAGGATTACAATACAGGATGAAAAGATTAAGTGCACCGATAAAATAAGTTACTTAGGGCTTCAAGTAGATTGTCTAATGAATTGGACATTGCACATAGAATACATAAAACAAAAAGCCATCATTATGGCTCATGCACTGAGATCCATTAGCAGAAACCTTTGGGGTCTGAGTTACCAAAGCTCTTCACTCATTTACCACTGTGCAATAGAACCAGCAGTCCTGTATGGGGCTGAGATTTGGGGGTATGCAACAAGAAAACAACAAATTAGAAGGAAATTACTCGCCATTTAACGAAGCTATCTCATCACAGTGTGCAGGGCCTATCGCACGGCCCCGACTAGCGGGCTGCAGGTGATTGCAAATTCTGTCCCCCTCGACCTTAAAGCCTCGAAAGGGTATTGGGACTTCCAACTTAGGCATTTCTCTGATCAGCTGGCCATATCTGAGACCACCCCTACTCAAGTGAAAGACATTGCAGTCAAAATCCACAACCATGGATCTGATAGATTCAGCGACTACTACCTATTGCACCCGGCCACTGATCCCCCAGATGTGGTACTTTGCACAGATGAAAACAAAAACATAGCTACAAAGTTTTACACAGATGGGTCAAAAGGCCTAATGGGGGTGGGTGCAGCTTTTGTAGAAATAGATTGTAACAATAGGGTGGTTCATCAAGCCTATTACAAACTAGGACCCTTCTGTACGATAAATCAGGCAGAGAGTCTGGCCATCCTCAAATCCCTGGAGCATATTCAGAGGACAATCAATAACAGGACCAAAGAAGAAATAACAATTATTAGCGATAGCAGGGTGGCTCTTCACCAAATAAAAGCAATGAACACTAAATTCAAGCTAATAAAAGATATCATCCACATGGTGTCTAATCTGAAAAGTAATCACATCAAAGTACACTTTCATTGGACAAAAGGGCATTCTGGAGAAATAGGTAACGACAAAGCAGACTTTCTGGCAAAGAAAGCTATAAGTCATTTAAATGGTCCAACCTTCTCGCTTGTTCCCTATAACTGGGTAAAGAACCAGCTCAAAGAATTCACAATCAACAGGTGGCAAGAGAGGTGGGCCACGGAGACGACAGGCAGAGTGACCTTCAACTTTTTCCCGGACGTCAAAGGGAGGGATAAATTGAGCCACTTCAATCCTGATTTTCATATTACCCAGTACATTACTGGTCATGGTGGCTTCAAACAATATCTCAACAGGTTCTTAAACAAAGGGACCAGTATTTGTGAATGCCAGGAAGAAGATGAAACTCCAGAACACATTTTGTTTACCTGTGTTAAACACGTCACTCATCGCAAGCAGCTCAAGCATGTAATGTATTCTCAGGGGTTCCACTGGCCCTGTCGAAGTCAGGACTTCCTTACTAACAACATTACAACAACTGTCTTCAAGACATTCATTCTCAAAACAGGGAACACTTTTCCCAACTTTACCTCAGGGACCATCGCAAGCCAAGATGGTCTCCGTTCTCCAGTGACAATAGACTAGCCGGCAAATATTTTACCTTTGTGTTTGTGCTCATCGCAACCTGCCTCAGCAATGCAACCAGCCTGGATAGCCTGGCAAGGTTGTACGGTTAACTTTCTTTCTTTTATACGCGCTAGCCTAGTGGTTCAGGCCACTTGTCCCTCTTTTGTTCCCCTGGACCAGTATAACTAATACTAGGTCTTCAGGGTCCCCCAAGCTGGGGTTCATGTTATGTTATATTGTGTTTTGTTTGTTCTAAATTGTCATGTACATTTGTATTCACTAAGTTCGGTTGTTCGGTTAACTTTCTTTCTTTTATTCGCGCAAGCCTAGTGGTTCGGGCCACTTGTCCTTCTTTTGTTCCCCTGGACCAGTATAACTAATACTAGGTCTTCAGGGTCCCCCCCAAGCTGGGGTTCATGTTATGTTATGTTTTATTCGTTCTAAACTGCCATGTACATTTGTATTCACTAAGTCGCGAGTTGTCTACTATGGTCTTTGTTTTATCCGCGGTCTGTTATACTCTACAAATTGGAGCAGTTTCATTGTTTTTCTTCAGGCATGTACCTACATTTTGTATTACATTTATTTAGGTTCCAATAAACAAAGCAAGGTGCTGGATGCTCACAAATCTCTTCTTCACATTTTCCTATCAAACTTGCCCCATCTTCCCCTTCCCCCCTCCCTTATCCTCTTCTCACTTCTCTTCTAAGGCTAAGCCTCTGGTACGGCCTTCTTAACTTTTACAGAGAGATAATATGTCTGATAAACAGTCAAAAGATATGACAAATTCTTGGACTATGTAAAGGCTATAATTAAATATTAGAGGTTGCAACCGAAGTTTTCATCTTTAATACACGAACGTCGAACGTTGAGCGGCGCCATCTTGTAAGCCTAGAAACTTGACAATGGCGTTCGGAACGTCATTGGAATCATGCTCATGCTCGACATTCCAATTACTTGGTATGCGAGGTGCTCGTTAAGCAAGGTACCATTATATCATGAATATCAAAACTAACTAATTAACTTATACATTAATTAACTTTTTATGCATGGATTTGAATCGGTTAAAATTTATTTATCTTCTATTTAACGTTGTCTTTAACCTCAGAAAATTTCGTAATTCTATACTGTAGAGAAATGTTTGTTTTGGGCCATTTTTCTGGTTCCCTCCTATATAAAAAATGCATATGACCAAAATTTTCGTGACATGTTTGAATATTTGCATTAGCTAGTCTTCTAGAAACCAGACTTTTCCTGAGGCGTTCACGTCAACTTCCTGCGAAAGTCGACCTAAAACTGTTTTCAGGGTCAAACATTCGTAAACACTAGACTGCAAGTGTCTCGTAGCGGTTTGTGCTTGGTACTTTATTAAAATTCTAATAATTGCCGTACTGTAGCCGAGTGCATAAAATCACCAAACTCTGGTAGTTAGTCGTGGGTTCGGGCTGGCCACGTGGAGTTTACCGTGTTTTCTTCACGTTAGTAACACCTAAATAGGGTCCAGCTTCCCATAAAAGCTTTTCAGGGATGCATTCCCCTTGCAGATCGCTCACGTTTCGTGTTGCCATAGCCAAATAAACCAAACTAATTTTAACCAGCGATTATTTATTGCGACACGGCCACAATGCCGGGCTACAAGTTTTCGTCACAATGTTCTCAATTATTTTAATGGTGTTTTGCCCCTGTATATCATACTTTTCCTTTAACAATAGAATCGTGCTGGAAATTTATCTCATTGGTGCACAAACCTGAAAAATTCAATTTATTTAACAATAAAAAATATAAGGCTTTTCTTCAACAAGTACCAGGTATCAGTAAAATAGTGAAATGAAATTATATTACTGTATTTATAAAAATATGGTAAATGTACAGACAAAGGATGTATTAGTACCTAATACAGACAGAGGATAACAGGGTGAGACTACGCAGAAGCAAATTTAGTGGCGAGCGATATAGTTGTACCAAAGGAGAACAATGCACAAGCGAGAAGCGAGAGCGAAAATCTGGTTCTCGCGCATATCTGACCGGGTTTGATATTTATCGCGTCTCGCCTCTTTTCGCCACATATCCTCGCTCGCTCGGAAAATTCACTCGCTCGCATGTGCATAGTCGCACTTGTACAGCTTGTAAATTACAATATAGATCCGAACATAGAAGCGATCGTGAGCTTCTTTGCAAGAGATTACTTCACATGATGTAAAGTTTTTTTAAAAGTATTTCTCATTAAATAAATATTTATACCCATATGAATAAATAAAACCATTGTTTCGTAAAATTATGTTTTACTCAGACCACTAATAAGGCAGAAACATAAGCGCAAATCCCAGAAAAAAATTTACTTTACGTTGACGATTAAAAAAACGTCTAGTATCTGTTCAGGGACAAAATTTTACACAAAATGGGTGGGTAGTCGGAAATAAAAATAGTATGTGCACCACTAATTTATCTTACTCCTCTCGAGGGAAAATTTTTGAATTGAAATAATGTGACTGCTAGTTTTTATCGGAAGTTCTTATATGTTAATTAATCTGGGCCTCCTGCAGCTAACCTTTCCATATCTTCTGGTCTCAGCTTTCATGTATGTAACTCCTTTCTTGATATTAAGGAAAAACAGACAGACAACATTCAGGTGTGTCATGAACTGTAATTTCTGCATTTAGTTTCAAATTGCAGCTCAATAACGAATAAAATTCCGATCATTAAGTCCTACCGTACTTGAGATATGACACACGACTCCACAATCTCTCAACCCCACTATCTTTAACCACCAAAATTTAATAACATCAATTCCTCTAATACACAAGCCTACCTACAAACTTTCAGAAATGTTCGACAAAAGCACAGGAGTTATTCATTTTCAAAGTGGATGAACGAAATCGTGCTCCACACATACACGCACTAACATTCATACACACAGAAAAACTTCCAATAGTTCATATTTTGGCGTTGATAAGGTTTGAATTTATTATGTAAAATTAGTCAATTAAGTTACAGCATCTCTTCTGCTTACAAATGAAAAATACCATTTCTTCTCCAGATTACAATTTTTTGCTTTATTAAGAATAATTTGAGAACAAATACAGCACACTACGATGTTCTATTTTTATTGAGAAAATAATTTGGGAATAGTGTATACAATACTATTAAGAAAATTATTTTCTTGTGCTTTATTTAATTCTAAATTATTTATAGTATTAATATCGTATTGTTCAAAAAACATAACATTATTATACCTTAAAACATTAAGATTTCATTGTAAGTATCTAATTAAATAAAGATTTTATGTAGTTTTGTTAACAAGCAATTCTTCGAGACACTCTTTATTTCTTTATTACTTGTCTTTCTCTTATAGTTATTGAGTATATATTATAAGCCATGTTACGGTACTCAATTACTATCAGGCCTACACGTTGCGATGGTTGAACTACGTTTTGATTCTCACTGTGCATAAAAAACAGTGTCTGAAAATTCTCACAATGGATTTAAGCCATTATGGGAAGAAAGAGAACAACCGAATTCATATCCCTCTTGATAAATTTGGTACTGTAGATTGAATTGATGGAATAAGGCAATGCAACACACGAGTAATGTGCCAACGAAGGATGCTTTCCGAGAGGACTTCTCTATAGGAAATTGTGCCTTATTTAGATGTTATAAACGTAAGGAAGACCATAAAAACTATTCGCGAGTAGCCGGTCGGTCAGGCACGAACCCACGACTAACGTTTAGTAGTGTTATCTGTTCGGTCACTATTTAAAGTCATTGTTTTTTCTGAACGAAGTGAAATTCCTCAATTGAAAATGAAAATATATAAATTGTATTCTAAATTGTATTTATTGCAATTTTTATTGTAAGAAAATAAATATGTATCCAATTACAAATCAGCCTTTTAAGAACAGAAGCTTGAAAATAATAAACTGCTTTACTTCTTCATATATTAAGGAGTACAAAGGTTATCTAAAAATATATATGTACACATTTAAATACATAAATTAGTTTGAAAAACTTTTAAAAATTAAAATTATAAATTAAAAATTGTACCTTAAGGAAGCTGAAATCTCCTGATAAAATCCTCGAATGATACAGAATCATCATCATCATCGTACTAAAATACGAATTTAAATATTCAACATCATATCTTAAATGATTAATTAATGTAAGTGTTTGCAATTACTTACCACATCAAAATTTCTGGCGTAATGGGTTTGGTTGTGAACCGTTAATTTATCTAAAACATCCTTCCACCAAGATTTAACACGGTCTCTCACGTCTTCTAAAAGATTCTTAGTTTTATCTTCGAGTTCTACTCCGAGTTTTTTCAATTTATCTAAGTTTTTCTTAACCTAATTAATATATTTGAAACTTATTTAATATACTAAACATAAAATTTTAAAATACTTTTATTTAAAAAAACCAGAAAAAGAAGTTAAAAAATGGTTTAAAAATTTAAATTAATGCACGCAACCAATCACCGTAAAGACAATCATACTGTTCAACCAATGGCAGTGAAGATAAGGAAAAACGGAGTATTTTTTAAGTAAAATTTGAATTTTTATTAAGAAAAAAAATATATTAGTTTATATACCTCATCGATTAAGTCTTGGCTGACGTTTTTTCCACGTTGCAAAGCATCCTTAATGTCTTGCAAAACGTGATTCAATGCATCCTTTATTTTATTTCCAAGTTCAGTTTTCATATCTTCGTGAATTCTAGTTTGTAATAATATTGAATATATTAATTATATATTTAATATTTAATACACAAAGGTGCTACAAAGTCTGTTAACCCGAGATCTAGTTTATGACTGTGTTAAGCTATTTCACATCTGCTTTTTTAACCGGTCTTAATATAAACCAAGGCTCCTATATATAAATTTATTTACGACATATTTTAATGATAAAAAGGTACTTACTCCTCGGCATATGAAGGATAGTCACCATCAGAAACGACGAAACCTTTATTACAAACCAAAAAACAATGATTATAGCTGTATATTTAAAATGATGCAAATATATCATTGCTTACCTTCTTCCNTTTTTTTAGATAATTTCTAAAAATGTTTCAATTTTATCGATAAAACACAATTGTTATAAATCGAAATTAAAATGCGAAAAAAATAAAAATAATTTCGATTATAAAAACTTAGCAACGAGTCGCGTAACTTTCCCCGCAAAAAAAGCTAAAATTGCGTGTGGCGCCATCTGTTATCAGATTTTATTAGTTATTAAAAAAATGGCCAAAGAGCTTAATTTTCAGGGTAGAGACGAGTTTTACTTTTTTTAAAAAAAAATAATGTAAATGCTAATAACGAGTAAAAGCGTTATTTAGTCCTACCACACTTAAAACACGACACGCGAACCCTTCTCTCTCCCCACCCCGTTGACCTTCAACCTTCAAAATTTAACAGCATCAATGGCCCTAATACGTAAAACTCCTTGCAAAATTTCATAAATTTTCGACGAAAATCACAGGAGTTATTAAGCTTTAAAGTGGGGCGAACACAATCGTACCCTTCTCACAAAAGCACACTAACATCCGTAGATACAGAAATTCTCCCCAAGTTTTTTTGCATTTTTGTACATTTTTAGAATACATTAGATTATTCTTGTTTGGTTGGACATAAATCATTAAATTTCATACCCAAAAAGAAAAAGTAAGGCACGAAACTGTATTAGATATCGAGTGGAATTCGAACCAATGTTCTTTGCATTGAAAAGTATATTATATATTTGTTTTATGAGTATGTATTTGCTTTATGTAAAAGGTCTAAGACAGGAATTATATCCCTCTTTGACAAAATTTTACAGTGTCAAATGATACTGTAGAGTTTTTGTCATTTCCTGGAAAGTAAGCTCGATCATTTCGGCAGAAGATATTCAGAGTTTGAATCTTGCCGAATAATTTCTTTCTTTGGCATGCTCCATTTAGTAAATCAGTTATTGGTCTTTCATCTTCTTTGTCACAATTGGAATGAATTCTCCCACCCTTTCAGAAACCGTAAATTTGACGTAATTTCTTTAGTTTTTCAATGAACAAATTTATAAAATAACGTCAAATTAACGTGAAAATGAACATTATCTGATCCAAAGAAACAATATTTTAGTATGTCAGTGGGTGCATTGCCTGGTAGAGCGATTTTTAAACACCTAGTTAAGGTAAACCCATTTCAATTAAAATGGGCTATGTTATTGATTAGCTTATCCAGTTGTATGTTTCCTCTCTTGTTTAATACAACTGGATAAGCTAATCAATAACATAGCCCAATATACTTTTCTAATATATATTACAATCATGCAATATACAATTCCGTAAAAGAACATCTTAATTCTATTATATTGCAAATTCGATATGTTTCCAACCTAACTTCAGATTTTCCTTTTGTGGTTATGAATATCGGGGCATTGCAAAGAATCGAATATACACTACTACTGCTGCTGTTTCTTTAATACATAGCTCACTCGTGTAGCTTTATTTGAAAATGCTTTCCTGGAATTCATTTTCTTTTATTTCTAAAAGAATAATTTGTGGTTTAAATAACTTTATCAGACTTTCAACGTAATGATTTTTGAAAATTTAAATAAAATAAAGCGGCATGTACTGATACAAAATCTACGATGTCAGACTGCATATGACTTAGCAATTTTGCAAAAATACTGAAAATTTCGATAATACATTATTCTGTATTATGGTATGTGCCGGATTATCAAACTTTTACAATAACAACAATCTTAATAGGAATAAAATAATATTATGTAGTATCGGGTTGTATCTAGTTAGTGTCTTAAACACTTTTATTTGCGAAAACGACTTTTCCATTTTGAATCTTTTCTTATTGCAAAATGATAGCAAACAATCCACGTAACTGTATTTCAAGCTAATCACTTGGCATGCTTATTTAATTGTCTGCCTTATAAATTCAAAATTTGACAAATTTCAATTTTTACATGTAACTATTGTTATGCTATTATAACCAACAATAAATAACATTAACAATAAAGAATAAGGGAATTTTCTCCATTTTTCTGGGATTGCTGTGAATTTCTCGAAACGTGTATTTATGACCATTTTTGGAGATTCATATAGACGTTAGCCTTCATCCTAATGATGATCTATGGACGACGATTTATAAATTACTGTGTGGTCGTCTACGTTAAATCCTCTTAGATATTTCGATGTCTTCATCGAGATGGTGTCAATTTTCTACACCGTTCTTCATCTGCCTTGCACATAAATAAAAATAATCTTTGTTGGTGTATCTCTGCAAGCATTCACTCCACTTTCCTCAACTAGATTTGAAGGTCCCCCAAAGAATCATTGTTATCATTTACTTATATAGAAGAATTGTGTTTTATTCAGTTAAATAAATATTTTCATCATAAATTTGATTCATTGTTAGGAGCGAAAAAATGAGTTACTGGTCATGAAATTTGTGAAATGTAGAAAATATTTCTAATGGAATTTTTTCTTGATGCATTAAGTATTTATTTTGAACATATTTTTCCATACTTATAATAGTGTAAATTGTAATTTATTATGGTGTGGTAAAGGATTTTCTTACCATGAAACCATGTTAACATGAAAGTGATAAGGTGTGAAGAGAGAGGTTGTAGATGGGTGTATGCTAATAGGAAAGAAATTATAAAAAATTAGAAGGATAATAATGATTTATAATACTGTACGTGTATTCTTTCATTGTTTGTGAATGGAAATACAGTCGACCCCCTATAACACTATTGATTATTCCGTTTTATATGAATTCCATGTTGTGCGAGTTACTTAGATTTTACAAATACGTGTGCCGGGCAGTAAACGGCTCACGTATTTGTAAAATCTAAGTGACTCGTACAACATAAAATTTATATAAAACGGAATAATCAACAGTGTTATGGGGGTCTACTGTACTGTGTACGGTGTTAAATGTAACGAAGATAATACAAACACTAACAGAAGCGACACACAATACATGCTGAACGAGTATTAAATTTAATGTTATTTAGTTGAAGAAATTTTTCTATTTTTTCTTTTAATAAAAGTAATTCAGCAAAATTAGATAATTTATTTAGTTTTCTGAACAATGCAAAAGGGATTGAAATATTCAAGATCATTTAAAATCAAATCTTGGATCATTTTATGTTCTTTATACATTTCTTTTTACCTGTATGATTAAACAATTATAATTAAACAATGATTTATTATTGTTAAAATTTACTATTATTCTTACAATAAAAACAGGTATTATCTTTTGCATAAAACCTGCAATTGGTAGAAATCTTAGCAAAGCCCAATCCACTGAACGAAGCTCATTTCGTAAGTAATAAGTTTTATTAACGAATAAAACTAATCTTAATGCACTTAAAATGTTTTCTATATTTTCAAAATTTAAATTTTTCTTGAATAAATTTAGGAAATTCCAGTATTAATAACAATACAGACACGTTAGAAAAATCATAAAATTAAATCTAACATGGATAAATTAATTATATTGAATGAATCTACGCAAAGTAATATTAAATTAGAGCAGAAAAACATAAATGGCATTAATTTATGTAGTAAACATATGAAATTATCTCAGAAAGAACAGGAAATTTTGGAGAAATTCATTAAATCTTACACCTCTTCCATTCTCGAGAAATTCATTAGGAATATTCAGAAAATCAGAATGTCTGAAAAATTACAAAAAGATTTAAAATATGTCATCAGAAATCTTATAATTAATGATCCTTTGCAAAAAGATTTGAATATATTTAGATACAATGCTAATCGTAAATCATCTTGTGAAAAAAATCCTATGAGATCTCCTGGCAATGATAATGACCATGATGATGACCTTAATAATAAACATACCATAAACTATACTTTATCGAAAGATAAAAGGGATGATCGTATATCATCTGAACTTTGGAAAAAATGTCAATCAGTGATTAGTACTTTATTAAAGAATTTATTGGGAAGGAAAAGCCATGGTGTAAAAGAATTGCGTAAACTCGATGATTCCTCACACACGTATAGAAATGAAAGTGTTAATTTAAGAAGAGATATCACATTTCATGAAATTTTAAGAAAAATTTTAGATGTTATAGTTAATTTTGATGAGGCTACAACAATAAATGGAAGAATGTCTTCATCATTAATTTCCAGAAGAGATTATAAGGGATCTTCAGCATTCTGCTTAACAGATCAAATTAATGTAGCTAATGTTCGATTTAGCTCAAACGAATGGATTAATGCATTGATAGAACATAATTCTTCCACTGACATCAATGACAGTACTCATTTTTCATCAATATTTAATAAAAATGATATTTATGGAAGTTCGTCTAAAATTCTAGATGAAAATATTATGCAACATTTAACTACAAAATTGGAAGAAGATTTACTTCAGGTTTCTTCAGAAATATTCCCTACAATTACAGTCCATCAACATTCAATGATAGAACATTATCCAATAAAATGTTCTTCTTCTTCAATAGACATAATGTAAAAAAAATCATGTAATTATTCTGAGAATTCTTCATCAGGAGGGGATTTTGCTAATGATTCTACTGAAGAAGTTATTTAAGAGATTCGCATGGATAACAATTCTTTATAAGTTCAATCATAATTGCGATCTAAATGATTTAATGTAAGAAATAATTCATAGACATTGAAGAAAACAATAAAAATATTGCTGTTTAACAATTAAGAAACATTCTTTTAGATGGAAAGTCATAATAATTGCAGAGCAATATAAAATATTTACAATATTGTCTGCTATACTAAAGCATTTATAATGTATATTAAGGGTTTAAAAATATAATAAATTATTTCAAATATTATGTTTTAACAATTTTATAATGATTCTCATTATTTTTCTGTTTTCAAACAATATACAATAGACGTTTATTAATCCGGCATTCTCTGAAAAATAACCGATAATCTGGCACAAAATAATGTATTTAATGCTAGAATTCTAGAGGTCACTTAAGACCACAGCAAAAATACAGTATATGTATGGAAAATAAATATTATCTGCCCATAAATCATTTATTGTAAACTGCAACTTTTCTGCAGATATTTATTAGCTTTTCTGCAACTTCTTCAATGAAACTTATAACATTTAATTATACACTGTATCATTTTCAGGCTGATTAAAGAGGTGCATAAAATAATAGAAAGAATACTGCAGCGCACACTGATACAAAATATACTATACAGCAATGCCTGCAACCTTCAAATCGCATATAACTTATCGAATGTGGATAAATTACAGATTTTCAGATAATTCAGCACGGCTCACATAGATGCCAAACTTCTACTGTATTATAACTATAAACGAAAAAATTCCTATACTTTTTACTACTATAATGTACATTTATTATTGTTTATAAACAATAATAGTAATGATAATAATTGCATTGTTTAAATATTGTATTAAATTATTTAATTTTCAAAATTACAAAATGAATTTCATAATAACGTTTATATTTAATGGAAAGTTTTTGTGTTATGGTCATAATAATTCATTTTACAGAGAAAAAATATTATGACGTGTTGACGATAAATTGTCTACACAATACTCCTCGTTGAAGATGAATTGTCATACACAAAGATGAAAATTATTACATATATTCAGTAGAAATTACAAATAATGTAGATGATGGTGAAGATTTTGAAGAGTTTATGCTTTTGCAATACCAAAATAGTTAGAAATTTATGGATTTTTTATCAATAATTTGAAGTCCTCATAACTTGCAAAGGAGTTAAAGAAGTAGAAACCAAGAACATATTGCAAAACTGTTTGATATTACTTGGAGTCAACAAGTCGCTTGATTCAATGCTTGCTATCCACCATGCTTGCCTCTAAGCACCTCCACAGTCTATAACCACGACTATTTTTATATTTATATATTAAAGAAATTTGATTTAATAATAACATTTTTCCTTTATTTATACCTCTACTCAAATTATTTTCATGGCAGATTCTTGTTTAAATCATGGAATATGCAAAGAATATAAAAGTAGTTCGATATGTGAATGCCAAGTGGGATTCATAGGAAGATTATGCGAAACAAACCTTGATAATTGGTTTAATAATTTATGCGAAAACCATGGAAAATGTATCGACCAAAGATGCAAGAATGGAACCTGCATTTCTTTTCTTCAGATTAAACCGTTTTATAAACGTTTAATTCCAATTTAATTCTTTATTTAGAATCATTAATGTGGTTTGTATTAAAGTTTGAAGAAAACACTTGGAATAATTATGTCAAAATACCACATTCTGAACTATTTTTTCAAATTTCTTTATCTATGTGGATTCAGTTCCATTTTGGAGAATCGCTTAGAAAGACAATATTAGCTTTTTAATCTGATCCTTCAAAAAATATAAATATGAATAAATTAGTTACAATTGATATTTTTCAACAATCTACATATTTAGTTATTAAAATAAAGAAAACATTGTACTGGATTGTTCTTACTAAGTAGCTATGTTTCATACAATATAGTGTCCTTATAAACCACTTAACTATAGAAAAGCACTATAAAAGGCACTAAATTATATTTAAATTTTACGTTTGTCTTTAAATTTTGGGAATAGAAGTAGTATTTCCCTATAAAAGTTATAGCCCATTAATGATCAAGTGAATAAAACTACTGAATAATAATAGTTGGTCGCGGGTTCACTCCTGTTCAAACGGCCTGGCCATGCGGAATTTTTCGAACTTTCTTCACTTAAATACAAGCTAGAAAATCTGAAAGACCATGGCAAACAGCCCAAATGTTGCATTGCTTCCTTAGAAGTGGCATATACGAGAACGACAATCCTTTAAATTTGTATTAGAAAGGATTGTTATTAATATAGCCTATATGACACTTCTAAGGTATATATATGCTACATTATATATATAAGTATTGCCTTTTGCCTTTATTTATATTAAATTTTTGTGATAATCTAACCAGTTATTTAAAAAATGGAAGACTCAATAAACCGGTATATCGATGGGGTCTATAATTGGCCCAAAATTGGCAGACTAGAGTATGACTGACATCGAAAATTTTAAAGTTTTTAAATGTATATAAATGGCCAGCTGATTTAATGTTAAATAAACCAAGATTATATAGGAAAAAAATATTAAATTTTATAAGATGTAATGTCCAACAATCCTAATGAGATTTAAAAATGAATAAAATCATAAAGTATGGACTTGTACTTGAAATTGAATCGCCTCTTATGGTTGTTTCTTTATAAATATGTACAAATTTTATAGAACTGAAGAGGGGTTAACACTTATACAGAGGAAAGTTTTTGTAGGAGGATCCCTTGGAATCTTCCAAGTTTTAGTTTGGCTTATTCCATCAAGTACAGTACGTGTATTGTATTTGTACTGTACAGTACATGTATTGTATTGAACGTGGGTTGCTGTCTTCTATGCCATTAACTTTTGTCGATGAAATAGTTTATTTATATTTTTTATTTTTACAAAATAAATTAAAGCTGTATATATCAATAGAGATATCATTTAATGTATTTTGCAATGTGAGAAATCCATTTAAAACGGGCTACTGATAGTTTTTCCTACGATAAATGCCAAAGCAACATCAATTTACGAAAATATCAAATATGTCTATACATTTTCAAGCATATTTAGTTAGAATGAAATTACAACTTTTGATCAATTCAAGTACGAGTATTCAGGAAGCTGTCTATGTGATCTTGTAAATAATTGCATAGCAATAAATGGTGACTTCAGCATTTCTATGAACACGAATTCATCGAAAGTAAAAATACAAAAAAAGTTATTTTTATGAGAATACATTGCTTAGAAATAGAAATTAATGGAAATACCATCGATGAAAGAAACGTCAGTAGTCCATTTTCAATGGATTCCATCACGTTGCAAAAGACATTAAATGGTTCTTTATTGATATCTATTGATATAATTATAAACGATACGTAGATATCGGCAACGGATGTTGAAATTCGTCTACCTAACGTGTATAAAAAGGTGATATGTGATTTCTGTGGTAATTTTCATGGCATTCGATATAAAGATTTTGTAGACATGAATAAAATACCAAAGCAGATAATATCGATGAGGAAGATTGTTGGATTCTTGTAATTTTCTCGTAGTTAATCAATATTTTAATATCCATCCTGATTCGCGCATAACGGACTGGCCACGTAGAGTTTTCTGGGTTTATTTCACCTATATAAGTGTTAGATAGGTGAAATAAACCTATTTTTTGGGTAAAATAAACTCCAAATAAACCCATAGACTTACAAACCAAATTTCCCATGTCTTCACAGAAGGCAGATCTGCTCTTTGGCAGATTACTCATGTTGCATTGCTTTATTTCCGTCAATTCAATTTTTTTATATTTATGCCAGTTTATATCCAAAAAAATCCATTAATGAGTTACTAAACTTTCTGCAACATAATGGCGAAAAGATTAATTTTGAAAGTAGGAATGTGAGGACCCAACCGAGGTCCGAAATCATGTAAATCACGGTATTCTTACGATTAAATAATAACGATAGATTAAATATGAAAGGGAGAGGAAAATCCCATAATTTAAACAACGGAGCACAAAATGTAAACAACGAGTTCCGGATTACTCCAACACGTGTTAAACGAACTGTCAATGTCAAAATGAAAAGTTATAAGTCAGACACAAGTGATCATAAACAGGTAGAACTTTGGCCCTAGCGCTCATAAACAATCAATCTAGGGAAACAATTTCGGAAAAGAGGGAAAGATTTAAGAGAGATAAATCATTGCATATGATCGTTCGAGTGCCCAGATGAGAGAAATCGCGAGTAACGGAGCTAAATTATGAGCGCGAGTCTTGCAATTTCTTCAACAATCCCCAAGAACAATCAACAGAAAGGCGTCGAGCAGACACCTGGAATCGGACCTTTCTCGTGACCTGAGGCGGTCTCAGTTTATCCCAAAACAAAAGAGAGACCAATCGGGAAGAGAGGAAGGGGACGAGAGGCCAATCAGAAGTCCGAATAGTAGGAGAAAAAACTATAAAAATCCGAAATTCAAGGTCGGAGAGAAGCTTTCCTCCGTATTCCACGAAAGGTCGTGACTTATATTGTAGTGTGTCGTCGCCAAGAACTTTGGACTCCGCCGCTTCCTCCTTCCGATCGTCCGCCTTGCTTAGCGACCTCATCTCGTCCTCCCCGGGGCCAGACAGACGCCGAAGTTCTTGCCTCTCCGCATCTTCGACGAGAAGAACCTAGTGAAGGACTGTCGATTGTCGATGTAAGCATAAATGTTAACAAATAAACGACTTTCTTGTGTAAAACACTTGTCATCATTTGCCTCCTCCGTCACGGCCCACATACAACCTTCCCTTAGGTTCATCCTGACGCGGGATTAATAGATCCCATCTAGGAGACGGCAACCTTACACGGGTGCCGTGGAGTGGGTTTCAAGTCCCCTATCTCCACCGGGTCGGCTACCTTACAGGAATGACTTTTATAAAAATATTGTAAACTCTAATAACAAGTAAAATCGTTATTAAATCTAACCCAACTGGAGACGTGACACACGATCCCCCTTTATCTCCCCACCATCCCGACCATTAACAATCTAAATTTAACAGCACCAATCCCCCTAATACACAAACCTCCCTGCAAATTTTTAGAAATTTTCGGCAAAAAGCATAGGAATTAAGCTTCAAAGACGATAAACGAAATCGTGCCCACTAATATCCATACTTTCCCTCTGCTATATAACAGAGCAGGGAAAGTAAAAGAAGTAACGACTATTCCGTATTCTTCCATATTCATTGATATGAAAAAATGAACATGCTTAATTTCTCAGCCTGAGTATTGTACAAAGCAATTAACTACACACCAACCGAATGCCGAAAATCTATCGGGCTAGTATAAGGCTAATTATTAAATGAATTACATAACCAATTTGGCTTTAGAGGTAAGCGTTAGGCGCCATCTCTTATTAACATTAATAATTATAAACTAAATTAATTAATTTAAATAATTTAGAACTGCTGGGAGAAAAAAATCGACCCGGAGCGGGACTCGAACCCATTTTTTAATTAAATTAATTAGTTTATAATTATTAATGTTAATAAGAGATGGCGCCTAACGCTTACCTCTAAAGCCAAATTGGTTATGTAATTCATTTAATAATTAGCCTTATACTAGCCCGATAGATTTTCGGCATTCAGTTGGTGTGTAGCTTTATTTTATATATCGGGTTTAGCGATGTTTGTATAATACAGTACTGTGTAATCCGTGACAGATATTACACAGTACTGTATAATCTGTGTAATTAAATAAGGCCAAGCTTCCGGGAAGCACCCCTATTTGAAGATCGCCCATGTGTTGTATTGCCTTATTCCATCGATCTAACTCAATTCACTTTTCCACTAAATAATTCTTAATTTTGAGACTTAAATTTTTAAAATTTTTATACTTTATTGAGTTCTTTATTCTTCACAGAAGCAACGAAACCAAAAACATGAAAATTTAGATAAAATTATTGTAATTAAAATTAATAAAATAATAATGGAAAATGCGATTTTGATATAATGCCATGAATATGAATTTAGTTTTTCATCTTTTTCTTTCTCGTAATCTTTGGTCATTGTTAACATAGTAGTTAAGCTAGCTTCAGTAGTTAAGTTTTTAACAATGCGATTTCCCTGGCAATCTTCAGCATTACTCGAACTCTACCGAAAAAATAATAAAAATTTTCATTTCTTAAGATGTAGTAGGCCAATATAAAAATTGAATATTTTAAGAAAGACACAAATGACAGGAAAATACAGTAGACCCCCCCTATAACATTGTTGATAATTCCGTGTTATATGAATTCTATGTTGTACGAGTTACTTAGATTTTACAAATACGTGTGCTGGGCTGTGAACGGCTCACGTATTTGTAACATCTAAGTGACTCGTACAACATGGAATTCATATAACACGGAATTATCAACGGTGTTATAGGGGGGGTCTACTGTACACCATTGTAAATGCTTGTTTTTTAAACTAATCTTATAAAATCTTTAGCTTTAACCTTAAAGCAATGTGTTATAAGAAATTACATCATTAAATTATCATAAAATTTTAAGACTCACTCTTATTAACCGGTGTGGTATGTTATTCATATCAACGGCATCGTCCTGTTTTATTCCATTGAAATTCCCACAAAAACCACAAATTTTAGTTTCATAATTATTAGATAATGTAATAATAAGATCTGTGGAAGATTTCCATGTTATTTTTATGTTATATCTGTAAGATATTATTATGGAGTCCGAGACTTTCTCGATACTGATTATGTTTTCCTCTTGATACGGAAGTTCTACACTTTGGTTGTTGATCTTAATCTTTCCTTCTGGAATTATCGCGGCTTCAATACAGTTTATTTTCACAAAAAAAATCTTTTCGCTGCTATTTTCGTAAGCGTCTTCGTACCAAATGCTAAATTGTCCATCCATGCAATCGTTAAGAAGAGAATATCGACAAACACCATAATACTTATATACGAAATTATCAAATGTGTTCACTGTGTTATTTTTTAACGTACAGAAAGAATATTCTATAAAAATACAGAAAAGTATTATGAAGAAATATCTAAAAACCTTGATCTTTATCTTTAAAATTACCTGAAGAACATTTGGGACAACAAATATCATTAGTCATAATTTCTATCTCGTTCTAAAAAATAAATAATATTTACATTATATTTAAGCGAAGGATTGAGGAAAATAAATACGAATTATCTACAAATAGCGTAAACTTTTTAAATTCAGAGAACAAGTTAAATAAAATAAAATTAGTATTATAGACTTTATCTTGCACGTCCGTTTGTTCATGCTTTTTTAGTAAAGAAGTACCATTTAGGCTGTTTGTAAACGTTACATAAGCTCATAAGTTAAAGTTCTTTATGGGGAAACAAAATATTAATGTGTAACATCCTCCGTCCTTACGTTAAATTCCACGCGGGGTTAAACTTTTATTTCTTTATGAAAGTTTTATCCCTTAATAGGCAAACATGTCCCCATAAGGGGCAAACTAACATCTATTTCTCTTAATATTTGCAAAACTGTGCCTAAGTTTTACAAAATTTCTATATGATAATAATAAAGCTTCTATTTAAAAATAAATTTTACATTTTTTCAATATAGAAAAGTTAATTTAATTTACAATTTTAATATTTTTAAACGTGAATTACCGGTAAGCAATTTAACTCTTTGCAATGGAACTTCACGCAATTCAATTTTCTTTCACTGCATGTACAATTCTCGCATTGCTTCGAAAGTACGTAACCATCCTAGCATTTTTATTAATGTAATATTGTTATTATTATTTCAAGATTTAGCTAAAGTTTTCAATATATGCGGGTATTTATACTTACAGGAATAGTAACTCCGTTTACCACGCAACCAGACTTTTCTAAAAATAAAAATATGTTATATGTTTTCAATCAAATTAAATTATCTTAACAAAATTAATACTTTCGCAATAAATTCCTTTATATTCTTCTGAACATTGACAAAATGCGTATTTTGATTTTTGTACACACTTTTGAAAATTTTTGCAAGGATTAGGATTACAAGTTTTTACATTTCTCCAACAGTTTTCATCTAAATATAATAGATAAAGCAGTTAATATAGCATTAAACTTGAATTTTATAGACAAAGATAGTATAAATATCAGTATCAGTAAAAATTAATATATGATATTATTTAATTCACACTTACAATAATCCTTCGGTGCTCGGTAACAGTAACAGTCATCTTCATTGCAAGAATCTGAAAAAATAGTAATTAATTTATTATTATTTAAAATAAACCAAACATTATGTTTATTTAGATTTAGATTTACAATAAACCAAACATTCTTTGTAATTTTATGGTAAAAAATAATAATTTATTTTACTCGTGCAATTCTTGGTACCCATTGGCAAAGTGTAATTTTCAGACATTGTTTGAAATATATCAATTACTTTATTCCAACCGACAACATTTCCGAGTAAACCGCAGTCATGTTGTATGTGTTCAGTAGCAAAAATATCGATGATATGGTTCCATATATTAAACTAGAAGAAATTTTAATGTGTTTAGTGAAAGTATGACGTTAATGACAATAGCCTTTAGTATACACTACTTGATAAATTTCTCCTTTAAATACAGAGTTGGTGTCCATTTTATACTGTAACGTAAGGCCACATCCGATAAGAAATTGTCCGGGCCATAATTTTTTATATTGAGCAAATTTCTTTATTTTAGTAATGTCCGTGTTCCATTTTGTGACTAACTCTCCAGATTCACTATCCCAAGTAAATGCAAAGTAATACCATTTCTCTTTTTTAATAGTACTGAAATGAAAATAGTGTTATATTATTTGAATTTAATACATTTTTCGTGTTTTTTTTTATTTTTAAATTAAAGTGTAAGATTTATAACATTTCCTATTGAAGACCTGTGAATGGTAAGGGTGGCCAAAAATCAATTAATATTAAAATATCTTATTATTTTAGCAGTATAACTTACTTATTATCCGTTAGTTTGAAATAGCGATTAAACATTCTAAAATATATACTCGGTTCTGTACTTAAATGAATATTAATGACATTTATTCCTTTTTTATTTTCGTTTGAAGATGGTTCCGTATGACTAAACGATAAAATATCCATTACAGAATTCGTAGTTTTAACTTTTATCCAAATTGAAAATGTAATTTCATCCAATGTTTCATTGTGATCAATTGGTACACATTCTCTCATATTGTCAAATTTCATTGTGATTCCTTCGCGAAATTCTGGAAAAATATTTATTACAATGTAAATTCTTAAATTATTAAACACGATTCTTATTATAAAAATATCAAATTTCAAACCTTTCTCACAAAATTTTCCTATATATTGAGGAGGACAATGGCAAGTATAATTGCCAATTCCATCAATGCAAATTCCACCATTTATGCAATCATTATTTATGCAATCATTTATATTTATTTCGCATGATTCTCCTGTAAATCCAATAGAGCATAGGCATTTGTTTTGCATACAGGTTCCGCCATTTTTGCATGATTTATTCCCACAATGTTCTGGAATTGTACAGAATCTTCCTGTATAATTTCGCGAACAACAACATTTATAGCTCTATAATAAAGTAATGATATTATTATAGTAATAAATTTTAATATACGGTAAATTATAAGATTGGCATACTTGCACTCCATCGATACACGTGGCATTATTTTGACAAGAATTCCATGCACAATCGTCAATATTTGTTTCGCAATATTTTCCAACAAATCCATCTTTGCATTCGCAATGAAATTTTGTTCCATATCTTTTACATATACCTTCGTTCAAGCATGGAACTTTAGAAGAGTAAAAGATTATTGCAATAATTATATATTATAATAAAACTTCAATTTTGCTTGCTGGTTTGTTTTATTTGTTTACGTCAGCACTACCTATGGGAGATCCTGACGATATGCCTGTAGGGAGCACTTTCTAGGGGAAACTGGTCCAAATTTAGGTGTTACTAAATTATTAACGTGAAAAAAACCCGGAAAACTCTACCGTTGGCGAAGCGCGAACCCTTCAACTAAGAGTTTTTAATGGTTTTGTCCACTTGGTACTGGTGGTACTCATGTTACATGCATAAAAATCCTTCAATTAATGTAAAATTTTACGTAGTTTTAGTGGAATTTTATAATGTAATTTGTACAGTCGACCCCCTCTATAACACTGTTGATAATTCCGTTTTATATGAATTTCGTGTTGTATGAGTCACTTAGATTTTACAAATACGTGAGCCGTTCACAGCCCGGCACACGTATTAGTAAAATCTAAGTGACACGTACAACATGGAATTCATATAAAACGGAATTATCAACAGTGTTATAGGGGGTCGACTATATTTTTTACTAAGTTTTTCCTCCTTTTTCTAATACATAATATTTCTACAGAATATAAAATATACAAAATATGATCATAAAATATATTCAATTCCAAATCATACTCTTTTTTCTTATCTATTCCACTGCGTAATGCTTCGGCAGAAAGACCATTTTTTATAATTACAATCAATATACTGTTCGAGTAAAATAATACAAAATGGAAGGAAGTAAATATGAGTTTTTCTTTTGTATTAGAACTCTATCACATTGCTTAAAAATTCATGTAAGATTTATAGACTGGTGTGCAAAACTTAAAACTGAAAGAATCGGTTCAAATACTTTTTCAGAGGACCGTAAACGTCGAATAAAAACGCTTAAAATATGAATGGGGGAAGAACGTAGCTTGTTAAAGTCTGAACAATACTTTTTATCTGTTAGAGAAGACTAATCTGGCTAAGTTGTCAATCATCACTTATCATAATACATATTAATGTTATTAAATTTCTAACTTATTGTTAGATTTAAGCTTGCGGTACCAGGAAACCATAAACTTTTCCTGTGTTTTTCATTCATTCAACAAGAACCGTAGTACAGTAGTAACAAATAAGAAACTTAAACGCTGTTATCGTAACCTTTTTATGTAGTTTATTTTTGGTCAGCAAAAATCACTTATCCTAATCACTAAGGAGTACAGACCAGAAGAAGTACAGTTCAATGTAAGTCTGCAGATGATTAATGACAAACTTCCCATCGATATGTATAGGAAAATGTGGTACATCAAATGAAGCACAGACATCCGAATCAACTCTGAGTCGAGAAAATGTCATTGATTTTGAAAGGCCAACCCTTTCCAACACTCTCCTCACTCTTGAAAACAGCCTCTAATAAGTTCTCTCAACCGCAACCTTATTATTGCTTACTGAAGCTGAACATAAAATAGGTTGTATCTTTATGATTTTTGTTAATAATATCAAAGACCATCACCAGCAAATCCGCATAGTTCCCCACACCGCTATCTTCCAGGCCGAGCTAATTGCCATTATGATGGTTGCTCAGTGGTGCCACGACATCAATATCAATATTGACTATGCTTCGACCATCAAGCTTATTAAGAGGAACAACCTGTACCCAATTGCTGCTAATATAAATAGTATCATTTTGAATTTCAACAACCGTTACATCACGTAGACACGGTCGCACGAAGACACAATTGACCCATGAGCGTGCTGATGAATTGACGAAGGCTGTTGCAAATAACTTGGTTCCGCCTATCTCCTATAAGAAAATAAGTGCCACTGCCCCGAAGACACTCGTATTGGTTGAACAGTTGAACACCTGGCAAAGTAACTGGAAGACTCACAGGGATTGCAACGCTTACAAGTTCTTCTCTAGGAACAAGGAGAGGATTAGTAATAAGTAGTTTCTTCCAAACCACTACACTTCATAATTTATTACCAATCATAGACGCTTTCACAGTTATTTACACAGATTTACAAGAGGGGGTAATAGAAGCCTATGCATTCAATTCAGAGTCAAAGACAGCCTACATTACTTATTTGACTACCCAATGTTAATGGTGCAAAGGTTTCACTTACAGACCACATTGCAGAGAGTAACCAACATGACACCTGGAACTGCAGTACTTTGATAAATGACAAGAACATCTATAAGCTGTTTCAAAACCTTGTTAATCAGTCAGCGACTTTTTTACTTGGCGGGGACCACCAAGTAAAAAAGGCACCGCCGTAACTCCTGATATTTCTACAGCACTGTATCTTATTATAGTACGTTTCGTACTAACATTTTATAACATACTTTGACAAACGTATACCTGTCGTTTGTAATATAAACTGTATTGAGAACACTAACACCTAGTTGTGCCTAGTGGTACAAGGCATGTACAGTATATCTAATAAAGATTGATTAATAGTATATTTTATTCGCTCGTTTAACGCAGTGGTGCTCAAACTACGGCAATCATATTTGACACTCCTTACTAAAAACAATAGAAATAGGCCTACATGTAGCAAGATATTTGAGACCCACCTAGGATTATAAGATTAATTAATGGACACAAGGGTGATCTGACGAAGAAAAGTTTTTCCCAGAAGGACATTCTATAGGAAACTGGCCCTATTTAGGTTAAAATAACATGGAAACGCTGTTGAGACGAGAACTTGCGGTTAACAAAGTGTTCAGTAGTGTCCAATAGCCGAGTGGTGTCCAATCCACTCGGTTACTGGACACCATTTTTATGCTTTTCAGGAAAAGAAAACAGAAATGTCACCGAAGAGTGTTATCCTGCTATAAAAGTTTCTGAGCAGAAATGGTTTATTTTTTTTTATTATAGAATAACAAAGAAATTACATACCTGTTGAACAAGAATCTATTTCTTTCCGGAACATTACAGAAGGAATGTTATAAGTTGATCCATTATTCTCGAATTCTTTTTGATTTTTCTGATTACGTTCAAAATCAATCATGAAGCTTTTTTCAGATTTAATCAATAATTTTGTCCTCGAAAATTTTTCATTGTATGTTTCATTATTCAAACACAAAATTAAAATTTTGATATTCTTATTACCTAAGAAAATCAAATTGAGTATATGAAATATGATCGTATATTACCCCTTATCATTTCAAATTGTCTATTTTTAAAAGTTTTATAAACTTCAAATAATTATTTTATAATTAGCATACCTAAACGTGAAATTCTACTTCCAGTCACGTTTACTTCACTGACGAAAACATCCTTAAGATCTTGACTTAAAGAAACATTCAAAGGAGAATTTATGAAAGTGTTAATTACTTCTTCATTATTTTCAAAATTTGTACTGCAAATAAAGAATTTAAAAGGATTCGTATCGATTTCAAATAATAATACATCAGTAAAAAATTAAATGCATTTGTTATCAGTTATAATCATTCATAAAATACGCGATAATATAAGAAAATCATCTAAAGAAAGATAAGAAGTATAGTATACTCTCGTTAATCCGGCCATTTCATGTACAGTACATAAGAGTACCAGCTTAGAAGAGGTGCGGATTACCGAAAGTATATAAACCCGATGGTAATAAATGCCGTAGCCAGTCGCTACAAAGAAATAAAACATAACAAATAATATTGGGGTTGACCCCTATCGACTTAAAAATTAAACACATTATTTGGCAGGAAAATCTCTTCACTTTACCCTGGCGAGATAATAGCGACTCGGATGTCGACAAAATGATTAGAGTAGGTAAGATTTCCCCCAGTCTAACCTTGATCGATGATATCAAAAAATTCAGCATCGACAAAAATACCCTCTCGACTTACGATTACCACCCCTCCCACCAGCTTGACCCTGACGTTTACTTCAAAGTTTCAGGCTTATTTGTCTTTTAGTATTAAGATCCGCGCTTACGTTCAGTTTTATTAGTATTGTATTAAATAGATATAAGTCGTCCTACTAACAGTCACTTGACACTAACTTTAACACTTAGCTATTCGTGGCGGCACTCAATTATTGGTGTTCGCTACACTCAGGTTTTCTTTTACAGACTTCGGGGACTACGGCCTTGCAGCCTAAAAACTGAACTCCAACATCAAACCTATACGTATCCCGTTCAGAGGGATCCTACCTTTCTCTATTGTCTATCTCTTCTCCCTCCTTCTTCCCTTCCCCTTTCCTTACTATCTTTTCTGCCGGCTAAACACCTCGTGTACGGCCGAAGTATTTCTTGTACGTATGTATTTACTAATACTACAGGTTCTCAGATTGATTTTAGTGAAATTCATTTTGTATGAAATTAATTAATGAAATTGAAATAAGATTCAAAATTAATATGGCCCATGATTTTACGACTATAATCGGCTGGGAAAGTGAACTGTATATTTCTCATTGATATAAATTACTTTTTTGGAAATTTATAGTTTTTAGCATTTGGCTCTACCCATCTTCCACGTTCAATGCAGGGTAGTCGAATACCAACTCGTCTGTAGATCGTTTGCGTAAGAGTCCAGTATAAATTAGACACTACACCTATACTTAATGTAACTCTACTCATCCTGCCACAATTATTTAGTTTGATATCGATCGAAATGAAGAATTCTTTTAGTAAATTTACCTTTCATTGGCTCTTCCATAAAGCTGAACAAATTGAAGCCATGTTATTGTAGTATCAAATACTTCAGCAATTAAATGTTTATCTTCCAAATTCAATCTGCTACAATTTAATATCCGCACATAATACGTTTGGTTTTCATTATTATGAAGTTTTATTTTTTCTAATATTAGTTTTTCGCATTTCAAATAATGTCGATATTCAGTACATAAATTTCTGGTATTAAATGAAGTTTTATTAAAGTTCTCTCCTGGTGTGAGTGGAAGTTCGCTATAATATAAAGAAATCAAAATAAATAAAGTAAACATTGGATATTCTTTGTAGTATTCTTCCTGTATCAAAATATTTGACAATAATATACTGTAAACAATAAACTGTCTAATTGTTTGCTGTAAAATATATTCTCTGTTATTGTTAAAATAGTACAATCCAGATGTCCGTGTAAATACGGAGTAAATGTACCTCTGCCGTGATAAATTATGGGGATTTAGATCAGGATACTGCCTAAATGGGATCCTCTAAATTGATCCAAATCCCCCTAGGATTGCCTGTAATAGGCATAACTGTAGCCAGCAATACAACCTTATTTATTTAATGATTACAGTTAAAACGTAATAAAATTAAATGAGAGAACAATAGCCATAATTAAGAAAATTATCACAAATTTTTTTTGTTTTTCTATCACCTGCCAGTTATATGATTTGCATTGAAGTTTCTCATGATTCCGTGTATAGCATAAATATACCAATAGCCTATGCCTACTATGAATACACTCTACGTTACTTATTTCGCATCTGAATCGTTGTTTGCTGCTTAATTTCTCACTAATTTCAATTTTATTTTCAATGTACTGTATTATTATTTACGCTTTTGAGAAGATATTATAATCATATTACCATATTATTCATATTATAGCAATGTTTTTTTGAGATATTTGGCATAAATAACGTCACTTTTCTGTCCAGACCTCTGTAAAATGATATTTAAAAAAACACGGAAAAAATTTACACGTATGTTTACTAAATGAGCATTTATCGAATATGCGAAATACACTTGTACTCATTATGTTATCAGACTCGTAATGAAGACTCCCGCTGAAAAAAAAAACAACTTTACCTTCAGAAATTAATAAATTATTTAATAAATTGCTTTCGATCAGTGACCTCATTTAACGGCCATCTTGGATTTTGAACTCGATCCATGGCGACGCCTGTAATAATTATGTTTTTTTGTATTAAAACATAAATATTCAATGTTGCCAGCTTAATTTCAAATATTACATAAAGATAATAAAAAGATAAAAAAGTACAAATTAAAATATTTTATTACTCATTTTATTATAAACAAATTAAACATAATATTTAAAGTTATAATTTTTTAAATAGTGGTATTAAAATAAATATTTAAAAATAAAAAGAAATTTTCTTATTTTCCGTCACCTCCAGAGGGCGACATGGAACGGAGCAGTTATATTCGTCTGCTCATTCGAACTAAATGCGTCATTCGACTAAATAAAGTTGTAATTATTCATTTATTGTGTTTCGAAATTCGAATTAACCTTTAATGGCTGCTTCCAGGAAGTAAGTAGACGTTGTTTTTAAACAAAATTCATTTAAATATTGCAAGGAAATGTCGTATAATCGAATATACCTGTCAAGCATTAAGGCTTAGACATCATATAAATGTTTAAAGCTTAAATTACAAATCAAATGCATAATATTAACAAAATTAAAATAAAAATGAAGTAAATTAGCTTAAAAATTGATAATTTACTTCATTTTTAATAAATATTTAATGTATTGAATATTGTGTATAATTATCACAATATTCAATACATTATGTAAATATTTCTATACTTTATACCTGTATAAAGGTATTATTCTATTTTAAAACACACAGACAAAAACACTAAAAATATAATCCCCTCTTCTATTATTCACTTGTATCATCTTTCATGCTACATTGCTACTTAACTTTAACATAAAGCTGCTTTATTGTATCATAAAACTGTGTTGAGTGTTGGAAAGATGATAACTTTAATGCAGATGCCAGAGAGGATTTATTTGCTGGATCGATAATTTAACGGATATCAAAAAATTACTTTAAGACGAGAGAGAACTGTGTTAAATAACACACTTTTTTCTTTCAATTTATTTTAAATTTACACACGTATTTGTGTAGAACATGCTAGCTAATCTTTCTTTAAAATGGCTACACCAATGTGGTGAAGCTTTTCGTATTATATTGCTCCTTTGTAATAATTAGTGGTTATTTTCATTAAAAATGTAATGTTTTATGGTATATGCGAATTCATAATTATGCGCTATTAAATTATTTTAAAATTTCCAGTGTATACGGAAATAATTAACATAATTAAAAATAGATAACACTTCGCTTTACTTCACTTAGTTATATATGAAGTTTATCTATGTAAATATTTGATTGCTGCTAAAGCAATAAGTCCACATTAAAACTTCTTGAATAGTTTCATCGTTTAAGTCTCACAATAAATAAAATTTAAATATATTTTTAAGGAAACTGGCTTTTTATTCCTTGCATATATGGAAATAAGTTAATATAGTTTCTTGAGAGAATCCAGATTTTTATATACGATGATTTATACTCCACATCTATTATTATGTCTAATATTTCATTTTATAAATTTATCATTCTAATCTGGTGTATACCATAAACACATTGGTATATACAAGAAAAAATTGTTTTTATTTTTAAAAATAGAATTTATTTCGAATGGGTCAGTGAAATAAGGATACAACAAATATTATTATCTATAAAGAAGGTAAATATAAAATATTTAAGATTTCGCCGAACAAATAACAAGATATAAATGGCTATTTTGAGTAAATGTTAAAGAATAAAACATGGGTGTAAAGTAAGCAATGTAAATTAAAACTGTTATTTTATTCGTAAATATTGATAAGCCTATTTTATTTACTCTGTTTGCTTGTCCATTAGTTATAGTTAGTTTATTTGATTTCGTATATTTAAACAATGTGTTTTATTTTCAGTTGTAAACCGACACATTCTATCAGATAAAATTACATATATCAATACTATTGCAATTAAAACTTTAGAAATAAAGCATGTTTTGTAAATTCGTATAGACGTGGGAAGCAAAATTTTTTTTAAAACTTCCTCAACTCCTTTCGCCTGGTAAAGATTCATGACACGAACTGTAATATATTACGTTCTTTTAAATTTATTGATAAAGTACTCTACCACAATTCCCTGAGAATAATGATAATACCATAGAGATTGTAATGATTAATATCCGTATAATATATTTTTTATATTGTTATTTCTTTAACGCAGTCGTCATAGGCTAAATTTATTTACATTTATTTAGTTTGGATTCATCGAAAATAGGTATTTGTCATATATTTCAGAATTACAGATTAATTGATTAACACATGTTAAGATTGACAATTTATTACTTATAATTATGTATTTCTCTCTATATTGCTCGAAAGCTATTGCAAGTTTATACGTTGCATAAAGCTTTGTTTTCCTTTGACATTTTATATTCATTTCTATACTGGTTATTTTGTTTACTACTTCAAATTAAAATATATGAATACTTTCTAATTTCAGATCAAATACACCTAAACGTGAAAGAGCAGATTATCATTTAGGTATGTTTATATTTATCATATTTCTATGTATAAAATTTATGCTTGTACTTTAATTTGTTTCTCCATACTACTTTAGATGAGGATTTTTCCATCATGTACCAATTATACAGTCCTTCCGAATCCGAATTAGGTATTTACAACTACGCAGCTGTTAGTACAGATGCAGCACCATGCGCTCAAGTAGGAAAGTAAGTAATACTATTGATGACAATTTTACAAAACTTCAAACATAATTTCATTGTAGTTATATATTCATGAAAATTAGAGATATATTGATGAGAAATGGAAGCGCCGTAGAAGCAGCTATTGCAACTTTAATATGTATGGGTGTTGTAAATTGTCATAGTATGGGATTAGGAGGAGGATTTTTCATGACTATTTACGATAAGTAAGTAATTGGTGAAGGGTTCATTCTTTGTAATGTAAATGTTTTTTTCTGAAAAATGCTAATAATAATTATAGGAAAAATAAAAAGGTAAGAATATTAGATGCTAGAGAAACAGCTCCTGCAGGTGCTAAAGAAGACATGTTTAAAAATAATTCAAAAAATGCAAAAGTAGGTAAGTGAACGTCATGTGTAACTTATAAAGGTTAGCGCAAATAAAACAAGATAGTAACAGTATTTAATAAAAGTAATTTACACACATTTAACTGTATGGTATAATTTAATATTTTCATTTTATTGGTTAAATTCCAAATTATCAACTTTTATTTAATAGAAAACAAACTAAAGATGATGCCGCCGAGATAATTTTACTTTCTTTTGATAATGTCATACAAACCAAAACCTGATTTATATTAACGAATGTAATTATACATATGCAAATATAATAATTATATTAAACTCAATCAAAATTTTTGGCTATAAATTTGCTACTTTTTATAGAATTATTTAATGAATAGCTGATGTCGCAATATTATTTATACAAGATGGCAACAGCTCATTTATTTATTTAGGCAAAGTTTCTTAAATAATTTAATTAAATATAAATCAATTAGCTATTTTAATCAATAGTGTAGTATGTTTGCATACTATTAATTCTTGTATTAAATTTCAAGTGCAGATATATATTATTATTTTGAATTATCTATTATAAAAAACGGAAATTAATTTTTAGTGACTGCGACACTTAGGAACGACTGTTTTCATATCTATTTTATTTTTTAAATTCATTTATCCTTGCAGAATATACGAGGTAATCTGTATATATTGCGTGTAAATATTTGATGAATACTATTACTTTGTAAAATTTGGAAATGAACTTATAACAATTTTATTTATAAGTATCCTACACTTTAAAATACACGGGTGTCATTCTTAACATCTGTGACTGAACACAATTATAACAAATGTAGCCATTTATAATTAAAATAGCGTTCTAAGCTTTATTTTCATTTGTCAGGTGGCTTAGCAGTTGCTATACCAGGAGAATTATTAGGATATCAAATTGCTTACAATGAATACTGCAAAAGTTTTTCGTGGAGAAATCTGTTCCTTCCATCTATCGAACTATGCAGAAAAGGATTTCCTGTGACGCCACATATGGCAATGGCTTTAAGATTAAATCGAGATATCATACTGAAGGAGCAATGCTTAAGGTAAGATAAACTTTGATATTTATTCTAAATAATAAATATAAAATATTAAATAAATAAAACTTTGATTAGTTCTTTCTTTTGTTAGAGATGTTTTCGTGAATAGACGAACTGGCGATATTTATAGAGAAGGTGAGATAATGACTAGACTGGATTTAGCTATTACGTTAGAAGAGGTATCGAAAAGAGGAGCAGGCGCTTTGTACGGAGAGGGAAATATGCGTAAAAGATTTGTGGAAGATATCAGAACTTTCGGTAAACTATAAAAACCTTTACGTTGAGTATCAAAGAAAAAGTATTGCTCTCGAATGAAAAAGATTTTTGAGAATATAACAAGTAAAATATTGTTTTTTTTTTTAATTTGACATTAATCCCTCTTAAAAGTAAAACTTCAAAATAACAGCATTGCACACAAATTGGGTTAGAAATATTTTAATGTCATCAGTATATTGTATTTAAGGCATATACTGATATTATAAGATGTTTATAATCACTGTTATTAAGTTATGTTAGCTGTAGTTTATATATTGTGTATCTGATGATCATCAATGTAAACGAATCATGATTTTTCCACGGTCATTAGTCAAATTTATCTTCTAACTTTATACTAAAACGATATTGTAATTATGGAGTTAAATATACTACTATCAACCGGAAATGATTTTTCATTCGTTTATACTCTTATTTAATGTTCTACCCAAGTAAAAACATAAACTTGCTTTTTCTTTGATTCTCTAATTTACAGTTAAAACATTATACAATTAAGTTCCTAATTAATATATAGTATAACAACTCTGGTCTTAATGTAATTTAGCTGAGTGATGTTATTACTATCATCTTATGCATTCTTGGTATCTTTTATATTTTGTGTAATATATTAAAAACGCTTAATATCAATTCATAATTTAAGGAGGAATTATTACAGAAGAAGATTTACAGAACTATTCTACAGTGTGGAGAGAGCCTACAAGAACTACATTAAGAAACAATTACACAGTATATAGTGTACCACCGCCGGGAAGTGGAAGTGTACTATCATATATACTTAATGTCCTAGACGGTTTTAATTTAAATAGCGATTCCAACTGGAGAACGTTAGACGATATTTCTTTAACATTCCATCGCGTGACAGAAATCTTTAAATATGCTTACGCACAAAAAATGAATCTTGAGGACAGTGAGGATCCTTCAGTGTTGCAGGTATTATTGATATAAGAGTTTTATATCGTATACACTAATATCTAATATAAATTTTTAAACTTTCAGACAGTACAAAAGTTATTGAGTAAAGGTTTCGCTGATGAAACAAGAGCAAGAATCAAAAATAATAAAATTAGTCATAATCCTGAATACTATGGACTCAGATTTCGTAAGAGCGAAGATGGAGGAACGGCACATCTTTCGGTCATAGCGCCGAACGGAGATGCCGTATCTGTAACTAGTACTGTTAATTTATAGTGAGTTTCATTTTCTATTATATCTTAAAATTTATTTTCAAGTATATCGGTAAACAATTATGCTTCCTACAGTTTGGGCTGCAAACGCGTATCCCCTTCTACTGGCATTTTACTGAACAATCAGATGTATGACTTTTCTTATTCACGTTCGTACGAAATAAACGAGAGGAATCGAATTAAACCAGGGAGAAGACCAATGTCTTCTATGAGTCCAACAATTATTTTAGATGATAAAGGAGAAGTGTGGTTAGTTATAGGAGGAAATGGCGGATCTCTTATCATTACCGGAATAGCTTTAGTAGGCACAATAATCAATCAATGTTGCTAGTATTTTTATAACAAGAAGTATAGAACTTTTTATTTTTCTTTCAGGTAACGATGCAGTTGCTCTGGCTACAGAAGAATGTCAAAGAAGCCATCGATATGCCTAAAATTCATCATCAGTTATTCCCTGATAGTATTTGTTACGAAAGTAGATTTCCTAAAGTAAGCCAGTTCGAAATTTTAGATTATATTTATATATATATTAATCTTTACTCACTGTAAATAAATTCCGTTTACACGTTTTAGGCTATCCTGAAAAGATTGAAAATGTTAGGCCATAAAGCCAATGAAAGATATCACACATTATCAATCATTATGGCTATCCATCGACATAAAAATGGAAAACTTTACGCTAATGCCGATTACAGAAAAAATGGCAAAACTGACGGGTTTTAAATGTATTTATAAAATGTAATTTATTCTCAATGAGAAAATTATGCAAAAAATAAGTTAGTTATGAAAATCTTGTAATAGGATTTTCAATAAAAATTATTTTATATTATTCGATTCACGTTATTCAAATTGAGAATGGATCGTTAACAAATTGATTTTGGGCAATTTCCGATTCTATTTTATTTATATACATTCACAGAAATAATTTTTTCACAATTTTTACATTTGTACTTTGTGAAATTCAATTAGATGATACGCATTATACAATGATAGACACAGACCGCCTGTTTATGATCCTTAAGGATAAAAATTAACTTAAAATGATTTGTTTTGACTCTTTCATGAGACGTAAATGAATCTAATTGTGTTTTAGAAGACACAAGATCAGCTTTAGAAAATTACTGTAATAAGTCTAGGAATAAAGAGGCAAACAAAGCACTCGCAAGTATATATCAAGATTAGACAAGAAGCGTATTATCGAATTTCACTGAATCGAAATAATTAACAAGGATTAAGTAGAACGATGTACTCAAGAAGCTGCCGCCATACTTGATTTGTTTTTCTAATATAACGCTTAGAGTTCAAAATTTGAAATGTGGATGCTTCTAAAAGGGAATAGTTAAAGAAGCAAATCAATGATGTCTTCTATTTCATTTAAAATGGATTTTGTCGTTGGTGTATTATTTGGTTGCTTGAGTCTAAAGGACGTAGCCTATTTTTCATCTTGATTACAACTGTTTTAATTAGACACAAGCGAAATAGCGATAACTTAGTTTTCACAAACTTCAAAACATAAAGAAAATTAATTGTAAAAGCCTTACTGTCCTTAAATTCTAATGTTATTGTTAATTGTCTACTTGGACTTTACTTATTAATAGGACTTTATACTGGTGTTTAAAGATTGGCACAGTAATGAGTTAGTTCAGGAAAGAACAAAATTTCTTTATTATATCACCTGTAGTAATAATTTCTGTTACAATTATTACTTATTAATTATTAGCAGAAATTATTACTAAAGGTGATATAATAAAGAAATTTTGTTCTTTCCTGAACTAACTCATTGCTGTGCCAATCTTTAAACACCAGTATAAAGTCCTATTAATAAGTAAAGTCCAAGTAGACAATTAACAATAACATGAAGAAAATTAAATTAAAATCCTTAAATTTATATTTTGCATACTGTTTTTAGTTGCTGATAGCTATATGTAAGTGGATTAATGCTATAATGCGAGTCTTTACATTCTTACTTTATATATACTTCATTTGTTGTGTGGACTCAACCATTTTTTTGTCAGTTACAACAGACTCCGCGCAGATATTCACTAATTATTTGATTGAGCAATATATTCTTTTCAAAGTAATAATTCAATTCTAATATACTATGACAAATTTAAAAGGGAATCAATTGGAAAGGAAATCATATTCCAAACTACGACACCATTCCTGGTGCATGGTTTAAGAACATTAAATACGAGATTTATAGTAGTATATTTAACTCCATAATTAAAAAGGGAAAAGTATGATGTACAGGGGCAAGCCACTACTAATTTGAGGCGGAGAGCGGACATTTTAAATTACAGTAGAGCGTCGTTTATCCGAAAGCCGGTTATCCGAAACATCGGTTAACCGAAAGCATTCCAGTCGGCAAATTTAAATTTCGCTAGTGCTGTGGCGCTGCAATTTTTGGCTATATCTTGGGCTACTCCGAAATTTTTTTTGTTGGTGTGTGTGTTTTAGCTGGCAGCACTGGCATTTTTGTGTGGTGTTATTCTGAGGACTGTGTAGCTTAACATCGACGAAATTCAAGGCGAAGCGACACGCAACGGAGAAAAATTTCAACATGGGATAGGTTAATATAGTTTTTCGTACATAATCGATTATCCGAAAAATAAGTTATCCGAACAACCCCAGTCCCCAATTGATTCGGATAAACGACGCTCTACTGTACATTGAAGATATGGTTAAAACTTGCAACCAGGCAGTCACCATGCCACAATAAATAATTGCTCGTTGCTATTAGCATATCAACTACGTATTATGTTTGTTTTTCATCTCATAAAATTCGAATGTCTCGAGAATAGAAAGAATTTCAACGAATTCTTCTTTTAATTTGAATTGCGTAATTTTTTTCTTTCTTTTCAATATTCGAGTTCGACTCAAGATTTGTGATGGATACTTCGTTTCTGTGAGTAGTCAAAATAAAAATTCTAATTCGTAATTAACGCAGTAGAAGATTCATATATTATTATAGTGATTTATGTACTTACTTTTTATTAATTTAATATTAACTAAAGTCATAAATTTGTTGGAAACATTAGATAAGTTGTGGCAATTTTTCTTGAAATATCAATAGAATTAAGTGTTAAATATTATTTGTTATTTATTAATTATGTTAATCATTATTAAAGTATCAAATTCATTTAATTTTTGAAAATACGTCACATAAAATGTAAACTTCTAGAAGCAGATCTCTCGTAAATGAATAAAGAAAAACATTGTTTTAGTAGAAGGAAGCTAAGAACTAGCGCAGATCGAAATGAAGAACCAGAAACTGCTGGAAATGCAGCAAACAAAGCATTAATTCCTGAACAATATGATAAACTTGGGCCGGAAACTGGCAAGGTGATGCGTGGCCAAATTTTGGGGAAAAATCGAGGACAGTGGATAAAAGAAACATGGTTACGGTTGACAAAATTTGTAGGAGACAGCATGACTGATCTTAGACGCTCAAGAACAGGCGATCAGAAGCTCTCTGCAAGAACTATCATTTTCTTTATGTGTAAACTGATGAGATCGTAAATCCGAAAAACTCATAGACAGCGAGGAGTCAAAATACTGTGGGTCATTCGAACACAAAGGTTTGCCGCGTAACACACCAGATCTAACCGTCATTGAGAAAGATGCGGCACATCGATATCGTAATTCCTGATGACAGCAAGTAGACGATAAAGTATACGAGAAAATCGTCAAATACGAAGACCTGAAAATCGAAGTGTAGTGACTGCACAAATTGGGGGCCGTTCATAAATTACGTAAGGTGTTTTGGGGTGGGTGGGGTCAAGGATTTCTTACTATTTCTTACTCAGGGGTGGGGGGGTAATAGATCTCGTCTTATGTAATATTCTTGTTTTTATTTTTTGATCTCGTTGAGTGGTGGCGTTTTGAATTTGGCTTCAATTTGGCGGTTTCTATTAAGAACGCTGGTTGTCTCGTGTGACGTGATAGAGTAATAACATTAGCAGATTTATGCTCTACACATTTTCTGTCATGGGATAAAGGTCGTGTTGTGGTTTCTCTCTCTTGTTTTTTATTAGAATAAGTGCACCACTCCTTTGGGTTGTATAACACTAAGAATACATAAACCAAAATGCATGATACAAAGTAAACATAAAATTAGTATTCGGCTTTCAGTGAAAACTAAAATGTAAAACCAGAAATTATAAATAGTCTTTTCTTCCATATTTTTTAACATAATTGTAAAAAGCATGAAATAGTGGTTTCTGAACAAGCTTATCGAGTGGACGTGGCCACCCGAAACCAAGCGCAAAAATTTCTAATCTCAGAATAAGTGTATGTTGATCGTAAATTGGACAATGATAGATCACGTGGTCGACGGTGTCTAGGTTTTCTGTACACAAAAGCAAGGAGCAGTTTCTGCTCGGTTATACATCGCTTGGTAGCTTCTAAAATTACCATGCTCCGTAAGTAGTTGAGCAGTAGCAAATGTTAAATCTCTAAGTGGTGATGAGAACCTGCATTCAACACTAGGAAAATAAAGTCTTGTTATTCTACGAGTTTTACTGCTTAACTACTTTTACTGGTTCCACTTTTGCATAATGTTGTTACGAATATAATTTTTAAGGCTGCTACGTGAGAGAGGGATGCGAATGTAGTTCAAATCAGTGTCCTTTGCAGCTGACTTATCCTCAAAGTCATCTTTTTCATTTCCTAGTATGCCAGTATGGCCAGGAACAAATATAGAAGTTATCTTATTTACATGGTTTTTAATATGGTGCTGGATATATGCGATTTTATTGCTATTGCAATTGGGATTTAATAGAGCTTTTAGGACAGACTGAGAATCACTGTAAATGTTGATAGACAGAGTTTCGTTTGGTAGTGAAGTGGCCCACTGAACAGCTTGGTAGTCGGCATCTTCTTCAGCTTAATAGATGGAGGTATGTTGGAGGTATCTGTACCTTCTAACATATTTTTGGCAAAATATGTCAGTTTGGATGAAGATACAGATAATTGAGCCGAAAAGAAGTGAACTTTTGGACCCATCTGTGAAGATATTAATGTCTGCGTGATTATCCATGGAGGAAGCAGATGACACCAAATAACCTTGTTCACAGGATGATGATCAGAGATAGTAGGGTAATTGCAATGTGGTAGCGTATGAACAGCCGTAGATAGGAGTAGAGATCGTTGTTGAACCTTGACGTTTGTAGTTCTGATGTAGTAATTTAGAACCTTTTCTATGATACATAGTGGCAAAGGAAGGATATCATTAGTAAAAACTGTTCTGCCGCACTTTGAAATTCTGGTGTCAAACTGGCTTTGAAGAGAGAGTAATTTACTTGCTACTGAACTTTTATTAGTTACATTACCAGAGCCAGAGACCGCGTAAAATAGCATTGGTTGTATTGCCCCATTATATGGAGTTTTATAAGCTTTATTATTTAGTCCCCAAGTGCACCTAACACATTTTAGCAGCATGTACTTTATTTTCTTGGCCTTAGCCAAGATGTAATCAATATGGCAATAAAATATAGTTTTTTTCTATTCTCTCTTGTTTTATCTTGTATGATGTTTCTGTTTACACATGCTCAAGCTAGTTGATCTGACAAAGTTTTTTGCGTCTTTTGCGAACATTAAAATTAATATAAAAATAATTATAATGACGTTGATTAATGATGATAATAATAATAATATTGTTAATAATTAAAAAATAAAGTTCTTAAAATAAATTGTTCATTCGAATTCATTAAATTTTTATATTTTAAAATGTGTTCACATAAAGTCTTTTATAAATATTAGTACATATTAATTAACTAGTTAATAATTATATATTTAAGACTTAAGGTGTTTAGGGTTTCATTAAAAAAATTTTTTTGGTTAATTTAAAATCTTTCTATAAAATCATGCCAAAATATTACGTAAGATAGGAAGGAGAGGGGGATAAAAGAAAATATTACTTTTTCTTACACAGGGGTGGGTGGGGGTCTAGAATGGCCGAAATCGCCCTTACGTAATTTATGGATGGCCCCTTGGTAACTGTGATTCCAGTGATAATCGGCACACTCGGTTCCATACAAAAAGCCCTAGTGGCATTTAAAACAGATGTACTTTTACGCCATTTTTGTCAATGTTTATCTTCAGATGAATGAAATATTTAATATATTACTAAACTACAAAACGTTGTATATTAAAGAGTCCAAGCTCACACTTTTCAAACTGTTCGCCTTGTCATTTTAACGCATGACACCAGCTCATAATAGCGGTTCGCAGAAAATACCTTTTCGTTTACATAACTTTCCGTATTGTGGACGTCGCTTTAGACAGGTTCTAGGTGTTTGTAAACATTATTACTTATTTTTCAACTACAAAAATAATACAAAAAAAAAAATTCTTTCCTATTACATTGTTAGTTTATGAGTTAGTATGATTGTGGACAGTGTGTGCATAAACTAGTGTAAATTTTGTTTCTTTTTGCTTCTCAAATTGCCAATATTAATTGTTTTAATAAATAAATTATGTATCTTCTTCAACAATTTCATTGTAATAATCTAATATCATCTATGCGTACTATGAAAAATTCAATGAACAATGACAAAATAGATCTATGTGCTCTAGTAGATCATTTCACCGGGTACTCCGATAACGTCCAAAATTTCTGATACCGTAACTTTAATTCAAAGATAATTTTATATTTTCAGAAGAGCCTTTTCAAATAATGGAAAAAGATATCTTTACTTGGGTATTATTGGATTCGGCTTTTTTTCTGTAATGATGCCCATTGCGTGTTACTTCTTAATAAATGATAATTTTAAAGCATATTCACAGAAGCTCTACTTAAATTCCCCTTCTGAATTAGGCATTTACGAACACGCAGCCATTAGTACAGACACGGGACTATGCACACAAATAGGAAAGTAAGTAGAAAAACGTTTGTTATACAGTTAATATTATTTTTTCAATTTCAAAATTAATTTTTTCAGAGATATACTGATGAAGAATGGAACTGCTATAGAAACGGCCATTGCTACCTTGGTATGTATGGGAGTTGTCAATAGTCACAGTATGGGATTAGGCGGTGGATTCTTTATGACTGTTTATAATAGGTGAGTATACAGGGGAATTATAATTAGTGTTTTGATAATCGATAGCAATACTTTAATTGCAGTAAAAAAAAGGTTGTAACAGTACTAGATGCCAGAGAAACAGCTCCTAAACAAGCTACGAAATTTATGTTTATAAATAACTCAACAGACGCTCAGATTGGTATGTAGAATAAAATAAAATAATGCCATTCCATTTTTCGTATAACATTTAAATAAAATATTCCATAAAACGCATTTCAATTAAATTGTTTTCTGGGCTTATAGCTCGAGGGATCCCAAATCGGAAACTTTAAACTTCCTTGGGTTACTAAAAGGGTAGATTCGCTAGAATTTATGAAATTCTTAGTAGATTTCATGAGGAAATGTGTTTATGGGATTCTTCTGCTTTATGTGGAGACCGCTGCACCTAATCTATGGTTTATAATAAACAAAAACATGTGGCGAAATTGCAATTCATCTGCATGTATAGCTCCACACAAAGTGCGCTATGGTTTGGGTATTTTTAATGTCTTATTGATTATTGTTCTGCCACTTTCTCTGCATTCCTTTTACACATTTTTCAAAATAGATAAATACAATATACTATATTTGTGTTGTAGGAGGACTTGCAATCGCAGTTCCAGGAGAATTGGACGGTTATGAACGGGCATATTTCTACTCCGATAAGTACATACGTTGGAAAGATTTATTCCAACCATCGATTCGTTTATGTACAGAAGGTTTTCCTGTTAGCAAACACATGGCTAAAGCTCTAAAATTAAATCGTGATATAATATTTCAAGAAGAAAGTATGAAGTGCGTAGTGAACTTTGATATTGGATATGGCTAACGAGTAGCTTTATGCGGAATAGATTTCAGAAAAACTGAAGCAACTTATAATTCAGAGCGTTGATCCAGTCGTTGGCAGTTTCCGAAAAGGGTTCGATTAGAATGGAAACATACAGTAATTAGGACTCGGTTCTAAAATATGACGTATTTATTTCGGAACCATGGTTCCAGAATACTTTTAGTAACTAATATTTGTTGGTAAATCGCGATTTTATACGAGATTTTATACGGAAGAAAACTTGAACCAAAGGGGACTTAAGTGAAAAGAAGCCCTTGATAGGAAGAAATGGAAAAAACGTATTAGAGAAGGAAATGCCAACCCGATATAAACATGGGAAAAGGCGAAGATAAAGAAGAAGATACTGACGCCATTGTTCCGGAAAAATACATCGTATTAGAACGAGTACCTGAGTACTGTACATTGCTACTCCAAAAGTTAACTTGCAACTAAAAACTGTCAACGATTGGTTCAATGCTTTGAATTAGAAATTGTTTTAATTTCTACAATTTATTCTGCAGCACGTTCAGGTGTTATAATTAATCACAACACGAACATAAAATTCCAAATCAGTATAACAAATATATTAATTTTATCGTAGAATTTTCATAAATAATGATACCGGAGATATATTCAAAGAAGGAGAAATTATGACCAGATTAGATTTGGCTAGAACATTAGAAAAGATAGCACTTTATGGAGCTGCAGAATTATACAATGAAGGAGAAACTAGAGAGAATTTTGTTACGGATATTCAAAATTTTGGTAAAATTAAATAGATATTAAGTTATATTTATTATACTTTAAGTAGTATTAATTCACTAACATCTCGTTTTCTAACACTTTATGTTGACCAAGAATATAATAAGCTTTAATAGAATCTACAATTTACGATTACAATACTAAAATCAATTAAAATTATCTATTCCAACTTAAAGGAGGGATTATTACAGAAGAAGATTTAGTAAATTATCGAGCCTTTTGGAAAAACCCGACGAAGATTACATTAAAGAATAATTTTACGGTGTACAGTGTTGCAGTACCTGGAAGTGGATCCTTGTTGTCCTTTATGTTAAACGTGTTAGATGGGTTCGATTTGAACAGTTACACCAACTGGAATACTTTAGACGGAGTTACTTTAACCTTACATAGGTTGATAGAAACATTTAAATTTACATACAGCTACGGAAAAAACCTAGGTGACAAGGACGTAGAATACCAAACGTCAGAGGTGCGTAACTGCCAAAACTGATAATCATGTACTAATATAAGAGTTAATAATTACGAAAATTTTCTTTCTTCTAACATTATCTAGACTGAAACGATGTTACTGGATAAGAAATTCGCAGAAACAATTAGAGCAAAAATTCAAGATGACAGAGCAATGCAAGATACAAACTACTACGGTGGCAACTCTGAGAGTAACTACGGCTCGGTAAATGTGGATGTTGCAGCTGGGCACGTGTCAGTTGTAGCACCAAACGGGGATGCTGTTTCGGTAACCAGTAGCATTAATCATTAGTGAGTATGCAATTTAAGTTTAAGGTATTTTTCATAAAGAATATCTTTTATCTTACTGAATAATAATCGATTTTATGTTTAGTTTTGGTTGTAAGCGTGTATCTCCTTCAACTGGTATCGTGTTGAACAATCATATGGATGCATTTTCTTCACCGAGTGTCAGTGACTCTTTCGTATTTTCGCCCAATAAGAGGAATCAAATTATGCCAGGTAAAAAGCCGATGTCCTATATGAGTCCAACTATCATCCTAGATGACAAACGAAAGGTGTGGTTAGTCATTGGAGGAGGTGGTGGACCTCGAATCAATACTGGTATAGCATTAGTGAGTAGAAATTGAATTATCTGTCAAATAAAGCTATTGTACAGAAAAATGTAATATATCGCTCATTTCGATTTTAGGTAACAATGCAATTGCTTTGGTTGAATAAGAATGTCAAAGAAGCAATCGATATGCCTCGAGTTCATCATCAGTTGTTCCCTGATTATATTTCGTACGAAAATAATTTCCCCGAAGTAAGTTGTCGAGTGTCCCTAGTTGTATATTTTCATTGTATTCTTCTACAATGTATTACTTAATGTATCCTATAGGCTATTTTAAGAAAATTGGAAGAAATGGGACAAAAAACCAAAGAGAAAGAAGATATTATGTCAGTTATAATGGCAATTCATCGAAGCAAAAGTGGAATGTGGCATTCTAACGCCGATTTTAGACAAAACGGAAAAAGTGATGGCTTCTGAAAGACGTATATATTGATAAAAATTTATTGAAAACGGTTTATTTCGTTTTAATTGAGCAACTTTTATATTTAAGCGATTTTATTACTGAAAATTTATTAAAATTTAATCCTAAATACTTTTTAAATTTTATCAAATAACATGTATTATTAATATAAACAATTATTTTATATTGATTTGCTCGATTTTTCTCATTTTTAATATGCACTAATACAGAAAATATTTACAGAAGAATGTTTTGTTCGATAATTTAAACTATTTGTTTCCAAAACAAAAGTTATCCAGTCGATCGAATAAGAAAATGTTTCATGATAAATTTTAGAGAATAGACATGTAAATAGAAATCAATAGTTAATTCGAAACGTACTTCACTAACACTGGAAACATATAATATCTTCATACCAGTAAATCTCTTCCCGAAAAACATGCCCATGATGCCTCCTGGGTGGTCTTTTATGAGAAAAACAGATCCTATTTAAACGTTACGTAGTTGAAGAAACCCGAAAAACTCCCATATTAACGTTACACATAAATGAATTCTTGTTGGTTTGACCTTTATACAAATTTTTATTCTTGAACCCATCTGGGTCAAAGTTTGTACGAGTAGAGTCGACACTAAACTATATATTACCCAAAATATTGGGGTACTACCGGTGTACAGGCTCAGCATCCAACTTGCTGTCTTTATCTGTAACGCTATCTGTTGGCAAAAATGATTGTTGAACCAGCAATACAACAATCTATTACCAACAACGGTAATAGATTGTTGTATTGCTGGTTTGTTGATTAACAGATGTGTATAGATTTAGTTGTAAAGAAAAAGTTAAACTTACTCTTTAATACAACTTTCTGGTACCTTATCTGCTTACTGTCTGGAACAGTTCAGACACCAAGCTTTCTTGAAAAACATTTACAAGATATAAACTCAAGTTTCCAGGTGACATCCTTTGCACGTCGATTGAGGTGACAGGATTCAAGCCCACATTCAATGTACAAGACGAAATTTATCACAAAGCTGAATCAATTCTTCCATTGCCAAATGAGAGTGCAAAATTTTTGCAGATTTACTTGTAGGTAATGAACAAATTGAGGCTGATCAACTCTGTAGGACACATTTCAGGTACAAGGTCTAACATTATGATTGAATTGCAAATATTTATATACTAATAAAATCGGCTGATACAAATGTTCATAACTCCTTTGGAAAGAACGCTTATTGATGATTATAAGGTAGTTATCCGAGTAACCCTTAAAAAACTAAATATAAATTTATCACCTATAAACCCGGGCAACGCCAAGTACTGTACATAAGCTAGTTAAGAATACGTTATGCACACACTGTCTACATTAAAACTATTAAACTAACAATAGAGGAAGGAGGAGGAAATTTCTTTCCTCTCGTGTTCTTTTCGTTGTTAAAAAATACAATATAAGAATTTTTGAATGCATATATATAGCATTATATTGTGTGAATACATGGAACCTGTTTAGAACGAACCCTCTGTAAAACACAGGGATATCTCTAAAGAAATGCTATTATGAAGTAATTCTTATTAATAAACGAGGTCCAAGTATGCATTGTTTTTTTTTTTTTTCATTTGTGTATACCTGTATATTTAAAACAAAGATACAAAAGAATCTATATCGATGTTTGGTTCATCAGTGAAGCGCCTTATTCGGAGCCACGCTTTCTATCAGTGTTTTACTAACAGATAAATAAATGCACATTAACTGGAAAATATCAGTAACTATATCTTATTCTACTCGTCATTTAGTTTATTATGAAATATAACACGTTCATGTACCTCAAGTTACCAAAACATGAAGAACATTTACCAAATTACCTTGAAATAGTTAATTTGAACCTGTTGTTCTTACTATGTCTACACTTCAATTGTATCGAACATGGCGGAATCGCCCTCTTCCGTTGATGTAGGATGAAAGAAAGATGGGCTTTATTTGGCGAATGTACCTTATATATTTTATGTTAGTTTATATTCCTGAAATTGCCAATTTTAATTGTTTTTACATAATTTAAACATTCAAAATACAGTCGACCCTCCATTTGGTATATACGTTCCGCTTTATAAGAATTTCGCGTTGTAGAAATCCTCAAATACACGAGCCAATCACAGCTCGGCACGTGTGCAGTTTACGGTCTACGCCTGTTTCAAAGGTTTTCTTTCATAAAATTAATCGATCGTGTTATCTCTTAGCACATGTCGACCCCGATTTCTATGCAGAGAAGCTGTACATAAACTCCTCCTGTAAACTATGTATCTATGAATATGCAGCCATTAGTACAGATCCTGAACTGTGTACTCAAATTGGAAAGTAAGTGCATTTCGTGAAGAACGTTTCAAAAATAATAATTACTTTGAAACAATTATTTCGAAATTATTACAGAAATTATTATCATATGATTATCATATCATACTGATGAAGAAAGGAAGTTCTATAGAAACGGCCATTGCTACCTTGATATGTATGGGAGTTGAGTAGTCAGTGTGTGGGATTAGGTGGTGATTCTTACACAAAGGTAAGTATTGAAAGAAACTCTATTTAAAACGTTATGGTAATCGATAACCTTACTTTATAGCTTGGAAAGAAACCATTTTAAAACTTCTAGATCAATTTTCAGCATTAAATATACTAGTTCTGAACAGTTGCTTATACACTTTAATTTCAGATTTCCTCATCTTATAAAATGGAAAATCTGGATTTATCACAGGGATGAATCACTCCGTATTTTATATATCATTATTAAAACCAACACCAAATTCACTCCACATAGATCTGTTCCGTATAGCCTCATATCCTGTGACACAATGGACATATAAGCATGCTTTCTCTATTTCAATAAGTGCTATTATTAAAAATTTTTCTAACATGTTATTCAAAGTTTCACACTACTTCGGCACATCCCTTGAGTTTTTCCATTAAAAATCACATGTTTGCTAAAATGATGGTGAAGAACCTGTTCAGTGATGTGTGGCCTAGCAGTATCCTGTTACCGATAAGTACTGCAATGATTTCTTTTGATAACGACTCAATCTACTTATTTGATGCGCATTGGGATTCTCGCCATTGGCTGCCAACCATGTTTATGTTGACCGTATACATTACCAGTATCTTCACTTATCTCCAGATAGACATACAATTTTGTGCAAGACAATAGCACGGATGACTCTTACTTTTTATTTTCCCGCTCAATATTTCTTTTCTTTACAATGTTGACAGTTGGCCTGCACATGCCTAATTGCCAACAAATGATGCATTCTTCTCATCCTTTGGTCTTTCGCCTTTCGCCTTCAGAGGAAAGATTAACTGAACAGAAGTGGATGATGATCTTTTGCTTGGGCAATCTTAAGCTAGATTTTAGTTCTTGCATGTAGCGTGTAGCTTGCAGCAAAATGTCGTGAGTTTGTCGTCATTTTGCTGCATGATCGAGACTATACAGAAGAACATACATCTAGATTTAAAAGGCAAGTACGGATGAGGTTGTAACGTTCCGGGATCAGCTCTCTTTTACATGGCGAACTTGATGGAATTTCTGTATGTCAAGTATTCTTTCTGCCATCTCCAGAATTCTCCCATGATCTGCTGGTGTCTACAAGACTTCACGAGGTCTAGGAAGTTGATAGACAGTTGTCACATTTCTGAAAATAGGTAAACCGCTTTCCCAGCAGGAAGTAGCCTAGTGTCAATACTTCATTTTCACTGGTGCTAAGGTAGGGATTGGTTTGGTTTATTTGTTTATGGCGACTCGATACTGCCGAGGAAGGATGCTCCCGGGAGAACTGTCTACAGGAAACTGGACATATTTAGGTGTTACAAACGTGAATATAACCCCGAACACTCCACGTAACCAGCCCGTTGACAAGGCGCGAACCCATGACTAGTGTTTAGTAGTTTTATTCACTTCGTCACTAATGGATACCATACTCTAGTGCAGTGATACACAAACGGTTGGTCGCGAGAAAAATTTTCGGGGTCGCCAAATTTAATGAAATTTATTTAACAATAAAAAAAATAAGGCTTTTCTTCAACAAGTATCAGATACCAGTAAAATAGTGAAATGAAATTATATTATTTATAAAAATAAACAGACATAGTGATACTGATAACGTTGCAGCAACAGAAACACGTTGACACATATATTTAGCTCGCAGTGCAATAGTATAGTCACAGCACAATAAACGTCTACTGTCTATCCAAAGGTCGCGACAAAATTTTACACAAAAGGGGGTTCGAAAATGAAAATAGTTTGCTTGCCACTGCTCTAGAGAACTGCTGTTAATGGCAGCTTCCAATCTGGTGAGAAAAGTAGTCACCTGTTTCTGCGTTCAGTAATTTTTTCTCGAGGATCTTGTAGGGGCATCACTTTACTGTCCCTAACATTCTGTCTTACCGTTCTCTTCACAAAGGTTTCCTTTCAACGATAAAGACCCAATATATGCTATGGAGAGCAGAAAAACAGACAACTGTGGGACCAGAAAGAAATTGCCCTAAACCTAGTAATTCCCTGCTGGTGGCACGGAAGAAATTCATTGTCCGAATAAATTTCAATGGATAGACGTCCAACAGAGTGTTGTAACGAGAGGAGGAAGATATCTTTTTAATATCTGAGAATGGCCAGAGTGGCTGCACATGTAAAGAGAATATTCATTATGAATATACAGCGGATATGCAAAAATCATCTTCGGGAACTGAGAATGACAGAGATGGAGATATACTGTTAGCAGAAGTGGGCTTCTGTAACCTGATATGGTAGACATTTTTGACGGCAACAATACAAATTAGACTGTGTTAATGACTTGAAGTCTCAGAAGATCCAAAGATCTTGATGAAAACTGTTGAGGATCACATGAGTACACAAATAGTCAAGCCAGATATGGGTGTCCGTAATAAGAAGGCATCACTCCAGATAATAGACGGGTGCCCATCAAAGCTCAAGTACTTTAACTAGAGGTAAATTTATCCACTTTTATAGCCACTTAAAAGGAGATTTTGGACGAATAAAACGACATGTTATCTTTATACACACAAGCTGAGATTTACTGCAAATACTCAGTGTGATATACTCGTACAGGAGTCATTCACTGGTGTCACAGAAGACATTAATAGCAGCTTGATGTAAATCTGCGAAATCAAATCGTCCTGATCAAATGAGGAATGGATACAGATGATGGTTGCCGATTTTTTATCATTGCTTTCAGTGACTTGAGACATCAGTAGATGAAAATTCGTTCTTATTGCAGCCCAAAGAGCCATATGTCTTAAAAGACGGCATCTCAGCAATGGAAACTTCTTTCGGATTATTCATCTGTGAGAATCATACAAGCTAGATGTTGCTGAATTCATTTTTACTTTCCTGGCTGTTATATCTAACTGGTTGCTGGATATTTTATTTCTTGAAATCAGGTACACACTGATTGTCTTTTTACTTTTTGACATAATTGGCCGCTTAGAGGCTTTTCTTACTACATTGTATATATGAAGCATTGCTATACAGAAAATTTACTTAAAATAATTATTAAATTTACCTTCTTCTGTAGAGATTCTATTAATTGACACGAAGATACATCTTGGAGAATTTACTCACATTGTATATTATTGGTAGTGTTAATGTTCTAATAACAACCATTAAAATTGATAGCGGCAGGAGGAAGCAAAGAATTAAATAACGTTTTAAATACACCGCCGAAAATTGAAATCCCAACACCAAGAAAGAAATATTCTGGTGAATCACAAATTGTAAGACATGCAGCAGAGATGAGATTATTATTTGCTACACTATACGATATTTTACAAAGTATTTTAATAAATTTTTTCAAGTACACATTCAATCAATTATAAAATTTTTTAGTTAATACGAACATGTTAATAATTTTCTGAATGAGTCCTTCGACATCTTTCAAATGCCATCACTCTTTCCATTTTTTCGAAAATCGGCGTTAGAATGCCACATTCCACTTTTATCTCGATGAATTGCCTCTATAACTGACAGACTACCTTCTTTCTCTTTGGTTTTATGTCCCAGCTTTTCCAATTTTCTCAAGATAACCTACAGGATACGTCGTGGAACATATTATAGATAAATACAGTTGAAAAATATACAACTATAGACACTCGATAACTTACTTCGGGGAAATTATTTTCATACGAAATATAATCAGGGAACAATTGGTGATGAACTCGAGGCATATCGATTGCTTCTTTGACATTCTTATCCAACCNCCTTCATCTTCCTGGAACCATGCTTTGGCCAACTTAGGAACCTCCTCTTTGAGCAGCTTCGTCCCTCTCCGTCTCTTCATTGCTAGATCTTGGAAGATACGTCGTGGAACATATTATAGATAAATACAGTTGAAAAATATACAACTATAGATACTCGATAACTTACTTCGGGGAAATTATTTTCATACGAAATATAGTCAGGGAACAATTGGTGATGAACTCGAGGCATATCGATTGCTTCTTTGACATTCTTATCCAACCAAAGTAATTGCATTGCTACCTAAAACCGAAATCATCATAATAATTGAACTTATTGTTAAATAAATTGTGTTTTAATGTGTTTTAAAATGATAATTCAATTTTGTACTTACTAAAGCTATGCTACTAGGGATTCGAGATCCACGCCATTGGCTGCCAACCATGTTTATGTTGACCGTATACATTACCAGTATCTTCACTTATCTCCAGATAGACATACAATTTTGTGCAAGACAATAGCACGGATGACTCTTACTTTTTATTTTCCCGCTCAATATTTCTTTTCTTTACAATGTTGACNAATTTTGTACTTACTAAAGCTATGCTACTAGGGATTCGAGATCCACCACTTCCTCCTATGATCAACCACAGCTTTCCTTTGTCGTCTAGGATGATTGTTGGACTCATAGAGGACATTGGTCTTCTTCCTGGCTTAATTCGATTACTCTCGCTGGATGGAAATCCGAAAAAGTTAGTGACATCCGGTGTAGAAAAGTCATGCATATGATTGTTCAACACGATACCGGTTGAAGGAGATACACGCTTACAACCAAAACTAAACACAAAATTGATTATTGTTCAGCAAAGTTATTCTTTTAAGAATGATCTTGAATTGCATACTCACTAGAGGTTGATGCTACTAGTTACCGAAACAGCATCCCCATTTGGTGATACAACTGACACGTGTCCCGTTCCACCATCCACATCTACCATACCATAGTCACCACTATAGTAGTTAACATCTTGCATTGTCCTGTCATCTTTAATTTTTGTTCGAATTAGTTTTGCGAAGTTTCTATTCAATAACTTCTTTTCAGTCTAGATGTTGTTAAGAAGAAAAACAATTTGTAGTTATTAACTCTAACATTATACATAAGTTATAACTGTTACATACTATTGTCTCTTTGAAGGTTTCCTTGTCACCTAATTTTCTTCTGTAGTTGTATGCAAATTTAAATGTTTCTATAATCCGATGAAAAGTTAAAGTAACTTCGTCTAGGGTATTCCAATTGGAGTATTTATTTAAATCGAACACATCTAACACATTTAACATAAAGGACACCACGTGTCCACTTCCGGGTGCTGGAACACCGAACACCGTAAAATTATTCTTTAATGTAATCTTTGTCGGTTGTTTTCGAATGACGTAATATCGATCTAAATCTTCTTCTGTAATAATTCCTCCTTGAAGTTAAAATAATTTTAATTAATTTCCTAGTATAGCCCGATTATTTAAGGTGATCATTTGTTATGTATCTATTCACAAACGTTTTCGAACTATTCTGCAAGTCAACCTTCGTGCAGAAAAAAAGAAAACAAGTGAAGACGTCGAAAACGACGGCTTCACTTGTTCTTTTTTACACTACTTTTACATTTTAAATAAAAACATTTGACGTTTCTGTATTTCTGTAACGTTTAATATATAAAAATATAAATAGTGTATATGTAAAAGTACATACAAAAAATATTTAATTTTTCAAAACATTATTACTCGTGCAGAGAGGTTTGTGTATTATGAGGCATTGATGCTATTAAATTTTGATAATTAAAGTTCCAGGGTGGTGAGATAGAGGAGGTCATAATATAAAAATGCAGCAACGAGATACATAATTTTCTGGCAATTATGAGATTTTATCTTAACAAATGTAACAATAATATAAAAGTTATTTTTATGATTAATAAAATCATAACAAATAAAATTGTGTGTGTCTGTTATGAGATTTTATTATAAAATTATTATAAAATAGCGAAAAGCTTGATTTTGATGGTAGAGATGAATTTTATTTTAAAAAATTGCAAATGTTAATAAAGAGTAAAATCTTGTTTAAGTCCGATCTCACAAGAGATATGACACGTGACCACCCTCTAGCTCTCTAACCCCTGGACTTTCAATCACTAAAATTTAATAGCATCAATGCCCCCTTATCACAAACTACTGTGCCAAATTTCGATTCTTAATCATTACCCCATTCTGAGATATTAAATAAAATAGAAAAAAAGTTTTTAATAAAATGTCATAAAAGAAGGAATCACATACAATTTTAAATTTTTTGCCTGGAAAGTTACGCAACTCGTTGCTAGACTTATCGTTTAATTTTTATAAAAATGGGTATACGCGAAATAATTTTTCGTAAAGTCAAATATATCTTTATATATATTTTTATGTATGTTTTTTATTTTTATATGTTAATTAAAGACGTAGAAGTGGTAAGTGTTTTTGTGTAAAGGATAAAAGTAATGTGAAAAAGGACAAGCGAAGAGCCGTTTCGTATTATTAATGGAGTTTTCGTAATTTATCTTTAAAACTATTACACTACAATTTTTAAAATGTCTATGTTGTACAGTTGGCATTTCATTCTTTACCCATATTGCTTAAGGTGCAATGGCGATTTAGTACAGATCCGCGACCCTATCCATGCGCAACGTTGCGCTAAAATTTGAAACGGTCTTCGATTTTGAGGCATTATATCCTTCATCTTCCTGGAACCATGCTTTGGCCAACTTAGGAACCTCCTCTTTGAGCAGCTTCGTCCCTCTCCGTCTCTTCATTGCTAGATCTTGGAATTAGTTCACAATCCACATACTTCTCTTTCTTCCAATATGGTGGCACCACAACCATATGGTGCCACGATATTGGAAGAAAGTATATACCACATGGTATTTTTGGTAGACCACATGATACTGTATATACCCTGTGGTCAACCAACAATATGGTTGACCACACACCATGTTGTCAACGAGATCCATCCATATGTGAATTTCATTGACAAACTTCAGTTACTTCGCAAATGTATTGAAAAGAGATTCACCCCTTTATAAATCTTTAAGGAGATCAGAAAAGCTACAGGAAAAAGAATTTTACGCAATAGAAATTCCACAGTTTAGATATTGCCAAATGACAAGAACCCTGCCCGATTCCATTGCATTCCAAGAGTAAACAACTTTCTTATTACAGACGAAAGAGTACCACGCTTTCTATGTGGAGCAACCTTAAGATCACTTAAAACACGCCCGAAAGGACATAAATATAATATACAAAAGTCACTCCCTCTCGCAGCACTGGTGACCTATGTATTATATTAGACGGAACGTCCCCATTCTTTGCGAATGTTTTGTAAATGGGAACAGACTAAGATCGCCAAGAGAGCCAGAAGTAAGCACTGGTAATCTATAAATCTGTACTTCAGGGTACTCCATTAATTATAAGTAAGCACCACAACACTATCTTCTGCATAGTTTGGTTTGACATTGACTCGGAATGAACTGGAAAGGCTTCTTGTCACAAATGTCACCAACATAGGGTTGTCATTTTGTTCTTATTTTTCTAATTTTTATAATCTATGTTTTGATATTTTGATATCTTATATAACATTTTCATTATATATTAATAATTTTACCTAAGTTTTGAATATCCTTAACAAAATTTTCTCTGGTTTTTCCTTTTTTGTATAATTCTGCAGCTCCATTAACTGCTATCTTTTCTAATGTGTTTGCCAAATCTAATCTGGTCATAATTTCTCCTTCTTTAAATACATCTCCAGTAGCTTTATTTATGAATATTCTACGATAAAATTAATATATGTATAACATTGCTTTTGAAATTTTAAGTATATTTACCTTGTGACTAATTTAAATTATCTCTACATACTTCATGCTTTCTTCTTTTAATATTATATCACGATTTAAATCCAGAGCTTTAGCCATATGTTTGGTGACAGGAAAACCTTTTCTACATAAATAAATCGATGGTTGGAATAAATCCTTCCAAGGTATATTTTTTTCGGTCTTGATGTATGCCTGTTCGTAACCTTCTAATTCTCCTGGAACTGCGATTGCGAGACCTCCTGCAATATATAGATAGATGCATTCATTTAAAGGCTATTTTTTACCTATTGGCAAAAAATTTAAAGAATAAAAAAAACAGAGAAAATGCCTAGTTACACGTGGTATTCATTTCATGAATTTCGGGGGATTTACCCCGAAGAAATTTTCAATATTCGTAAAAATCTAAGCAATTGATGCCCACAGCGATACACCCAGGAATAATGAATTTAAGTTTAAATCTGTTTTGTAGAATATTTAACTAAATGCTATTTTTATATAGAATACGTTATATTATTTTACATACCAATTTCAGAGTCTATTGAATTATTTATAAACATAAATTTTGTGGCTTTTAAAGGAGCTATTTCTTTGGCATCTAACACTGTTACTTCGTTTCGCTTACTGTAATTAAAATATTGTCACGATTATTAGAACATTTTTATTGTAATTTCCATCTATACTCACTTATCGTAAATAATCATAAAGAATCCACCACCTAATCCCACACACTGACTACTCACAACTCCCATACATATCAAGGTAGCAATGGCCGTTTCTATAGCACTTCCATTTTTCATCAATATATCTCTGAAATAATTATTACAAAATTATTATAAAGTTATTTTTATTTATTCTAATATTTTTCACTAAATGCACTTACTTTCCTATTTGGGTACACAGTTCGCTGTCTGTACTAATGGCTGCATGTTCATAGATGCCTAGTTTAGAGGAGGAGTTTATGTACAGCTTCTCTATATAGAAATCGGGGTTGACATATACTAAGAGGTAACACGCAATGGGCATCATCACAAAAAAGAAGCCAGATCCAATGACACCCATGTAAAGATATTTTTTATTGTTTTCTCTGGAAATATACGGAGAACGACGTATAAAATATCATACGGCAGGGGTAGCTAAATCTTGTCACGATAAGAACTACGTATATATAGCCATATTGTAACAGTAATGTACAAAGTGTATTGTAAAGTTATATGAACATAAAGTACTATAGTTATCATTATAATGATAATATTGAAGAAGATATAAATATTATTAAATTGTATGAATAATTAAAGAATGATTAAAGAACTTTTGGCAACTTGTCCGTAACATATGTATTGTCAGCGTAACCTACTTAGATTTTCAATTCTAATTATAGCATATACTAAGGTTATAATTCTCTATAAAAGTGGAATTTTCATCTGTAATTCCTGCTTCAAAAATATCTTAAACCCCTGTATAAGATATTCTTGAATAAAGAGTGAAGTTAAAGATGCCCAGTTGTGAAGTAAAGAATGTACCTATGCACCCAGTTGTGAAGTAAAGAATGAAAGGGTTTCGGAATAAGTCAATAATAATTTATTTTATGTGGGATATTTTTTAAAATACCTAAATAAAGTTTTAATTAATATTAAATTTCTGTTTTCAATACTCACAGGAATGAAGAATCCATTGAAAATCTAAACTCGAAATCGAATATTCGAAAGAAAGAAAAGGAAATTTACAAAATTCAAATATTCGAATTAAAGAGAAATTCGTCGAAATGTTCTATATTCTCGAGATATTTGAATCTTACGAAAAACAAAATGAAATTTTAATACGTATTTATAATTTGCTAATACTCTAATAAATACTCTTTACTGTTGCGGGATTCAAGCAACGTTGCCAAATGTGGTACTTTTGTCCCATTTCTAGGATTTTTTCTATTGGTATGGGACTTTGAACCTATGGTTTGGATTTCAGCTTAGAAAATGTGTAAAAACTCACAAAGTTTTCTGCGACTGGTAACATTGTTGATGAGCGAGAAAATAAGACAATGATCCGATAAAATGGAGTTTCTCCAGCAGTGCACTAAGCAAGAGCAGTATAGTGTTGCCTGATTTTTGATAGAAACCAATCGATATCCATTGGCACTGCAGATACTGTAAGGAGACGACTACATGTCTTTGAAACCTAAGCACTTTGCACCTATGTGCAAACATAGGTGCAAAGTGCTTAGGTTTCAAAGACAGCCACAGTTCTGTGGAAGATTTTCCTTGGCATTCACTGCAGGAAGGAGCAAGTAGAGCATCTACGAGTAGATCTACTCTACAACAGCCAGCCGAATTCGCTATAAGTAAACTTTTTTGCGGATTACTGAATGTTTTATTATTTTTTATGGCGATTAGCTTGCTTTTACAGTAGCAATCAATAACCGGATTGACCAAGCAACAACATTTAGCCGGCTTAAGCCTATGGAAAAATATCTCTCTTGGCACAAAGATGCGCCTATATAGGGTTCTGATTTTACACATACTTCTCTATGGTGCTGAAACATAGACTATGGTGAAATCAGACGAATATACCATGCTTGTGACTTGCCATCAACATCACATAGATATTGGTGGCACATACAGAGGGAGGAAAAAGTTAAATTATTCCCAAAATTATGAACACAGGATTATTAAAAAATCACATCCAATTTAAAATTTATATATCAATGAATTTTAGCTCTAAATACTGAAAATTTTACAGAAATACTCAGTATACAATCATGACAACTATGTTGGACTCTATTCCTAGACTTATTACACCATAGGAATAAAAAAGCCAACATAGTTTTCACAAATATATACCAGTCTAGACAAGAAGCGTATTGTAGATATAGGCCTACTCAGTTTGATTAGGTATAAATTTTTATACTTTAGACCTAAGGAAAATCTTCTTGGGGCCCGTGGAAAAGTCATTCCCAAACCCCCTTAGCACACAAAAGGTCATTCCCACGAAGATTTCTGACCTCAGAAAATTCCACTGGAATGACCCGTTACACGATCACCCTATTGTGAGCTCACACCTATACGGAGCATAAAAAAAAAGTCCTTATATACCGGTACGTAAATAAAATTTTTTACTTGCACAACGTAAAACAGTTTGTGTTTCTAATTAGTTTGTTATAAAGATTCTAATAAACAAAAACCTACATAGAAAATTTTTAAAATATCTGTATTTTATGGACATACTGTTTTAAATACAGACATAAAATTCAATTATATAAATAGAATAATTTCATTTAAATTTTATTTTAAAAATCTTTAAGAATATTCATCTGTGTATTCGTTTCTAAAACCCATCATTTTCACCATTTTTCCTGTAATCGGCATTCGCAGTCCATTTTCCATCATTGCGGCGATGAACGGCCATCATAATTGACATTTTCCCATATTTCTCTTTGACTTTGTGTTTTAATTTCTTCAAATCATCCAGAATTATCTGTAAATACAATTGTTGGTAAAGTTAGATTTAATGCTAAAGCAGAAGTTCGAAAGATTCAAACTTACTTTAGGGAAATTCTTCTCGTACGAAATATAATCCGGTAATAACTGATGATGTATCCTTGGCATGTCAATGGCTTCTTTAACATTTTTCTCCAACCATAACAATTGCATCGTTACCTAAAATACATTAAGAAGTTTACGAATTTATATGTGGAATTTATTCTAATACCTCATTTTATCGAATATGTACCGTAAGGACTTTACGTCTTCAAATTTTAATCAGTTTTCAATAGTGCAACATTTACTTACTAGAGCAATTCCAGTAGTGATCTGTGTTCCTCCATTCCCACCAACGATTAACCAAACTTTTCCTTTATCATCTAAAACAATAGTTGGGCTCATAGAAGACAAAGGCCTTCTACCCGGTCGAATCCTGTTCCTCTTACTGGGAGGAATACCGAAAATATTTACAATATTCGGCAAAGAAAAGTCATCCATTTGATTGTTTAAGATAATTCCCGTGCTAGGAGATACACGCTTACAACCAAAACTGAAAAGAGAAATGGCAAATTTGCAAAAACAAATATCTCACTCGATAAGAAAATAAATTATGTGCTAACTATGCGTTGACACTGCTTGTAACCGACACAGCATCACCATTAGGAGCGAGAACAGACGTGTGCGCAGTTCCGGAGTCGTCATCCATGAATTGTTCGATCCCGTAATATTTAGGATCGTGAATGGTTTCATTTCTACGAATTTTTAATCGGGTTTCATCAGCAAAACTCTTGTTCAACAACTGTTCTACAAGCTGAAATGATTAATTTCATAATATCAATACATTAACAATGATTACCATTAGTGTAATTTACTAAATTACTTGTAACACTTCGGGATTTTCACTGTCTTCCAGTTTGCTTCTATGTGCAAAAGCAAATTTAAAAGTTTCCAATATCAAATGAAATGTTGAAGTAATGTCTTCCAGAAATTTCCAATTTGAGCGCTGATTTAAGCTGAAACCATCCAAAATGTTAAGCATGTAAGACAATAGCGCTCCACTTCCAGGTAGTGGTGCGCTGTACACTGTAAAATTATTCCTCAATTTTATTTTTGTTGGCTCTCTCCAGCGTGGAGAATATTTTTCTAAGTCGTTTTCGGTGATGATACCTCCTATAAATTATAAATAAAATATAAATTAAAAGTTCTTCTAGTACATTAAAGTTAAAACTAGCCTATCGAAAACGTGTGACAAGCATTTAACTCAAAGAATATATCATTCTTTACAGGTGTTTAAGCATTTGATATCTTTTCTTTGAGAATCTTTCTCTTTTTCAATAGAATCGTCAATGAATAGAGTGGAGACAAACGTGGCAACGATGCGATCTGACAATGGGGTGCCATCCAAAAGATCCTTTTATGGAAAACTGGTTCTTTTAGATGTTACCCAAATGGAGAAAATTATACGTGACCAGCTCGTTGATTAGGCACGAACCTTTAACTACCAATGTTCAGTAGTGTTATCCACTCGAGCACTGGTGGTTACAGACATGGATTTTCATTGCTTTAAATACTGTGTATCAAAGCAATCAGGAATTTGAGAATTCATAAGATCTAATAAAGACTATCTTCGAATCTTTATAATAGTTATTAAATCATAGATTAATTTTTTAACTAACCATAAATTCTGATGTCTTCAACAAATTTCTTTCGAACTTCTCCCTTTCCATATAATACTTCTGCCGAATTGGAATTGGCTATCATTTCCAACGTTTTAGCCAAATCGGGTCTGTACATTGTTTCTCCTTCTTTGTAAATATTTCCGCTTGTCTTATTATAAAAAAGTTTTCTAAAAATAATGTGATAAGGACATTAAGGAATGTCATTTGAATATCATTTGGTAATATCTTATCAGGTGGACATCCATATGGTTCTATATTAACAATGAGGGCGGCAGGGTGTGAAGGATGGAATTCGACATATCTAGAGTCAGCCCTCCATGAAAAATTCTGGGATTTTTCACTCCTCATGAAAATTTATTGGGGTTGATCCCGAATCCTCCAGAGAGGTAGACTGAGACCTTAAACGCCTTAGCTATCCGGCTGTCTTCGTTAGTAAGAAAATATTTTGTCAAATTTCTTTGATGTCCAAGTGACAAGATAAGAAAATAAATTAAAACTAATAATTGTGCAATGGCTAAGTATTACATAACAATTTTGAACAATTTTTCAACCTTAAGCTTTCATCGTTTATAATATTGTCTCGATATAGTTTCAAAGCTCTTGCCATGTGTCGTGTTACTGAGAAACCTTCTCTGCATAGTTTAATAGTTGGTCTAAATAGGTCTCCCCACGAGATATCAGTCTTATGAACTTTGTTGGATTCTTTGTATGCCTCGTAATATCCTGCTAATTCACCCGGAACAGCAATTGCTAATCCATCTGTAATAATACGTAAAAAGTAAATATATATAATAATATATTACTACTGTTAGTTCTTTTATTACTCACCAGCTTCAGCAGAATCTATAAAACCTTCAAACATATTTTCTGTCGCATTTGAAGGTGCTACTTCTCTGGAATCCAATACCTTTACTGTTTTACTCCTACTATAATTAATTTATTAATTAAAACGATTCATTTCATTTATTGTCTACGTGTTTCGGTAACTTACTTATTGTAAATTGTCATGAGAAATCCACCACCCAAGCCCATACTTTGACAATTTACAGCACCCATACATACTAATGTAGCAATGGCTGCTTCCACGGCGTTGCCTTTTCTTAACAGTATGTTTCTGTAACAATTATTTATCAGTGTAATTCCAATAATATCATAATTTTGAAATTATTATTTTTTGTTGAATGCACAACACTTACTTTCCTATTTCGGCACAGGGTTTCGTGTCCGTACACACTACTGCATTATCATAAACTCCTAATTTAGAGTCGGAAGGCGTGTACAAGTGTTGCCTCACAGAAAAGTCCTTATCGGGATAAAGTCTAAGTACGGAGTAGCACGTAATTGGCATGGCTACCACAAATACACAAAATGTGATAACGACTAAGAATTCTCTTTCTTGTTTAGAAAGCTTTGGTCTATAAACATAAATGTTAATTGATGAATATACAACGAAGTTTAAATTCTAACTTAATGAAATTATTGTATCCTAGAGAATCTGGAATAAGCGTTGAAAGCTGCATAATAAACGACAATAGGACTAAACTGCGGTTGCCTAATATTGAAAATCTGGATAAGACCCTACAACTCATTAAAACCAAAAGAGCTGAAGAGACCCAGTACACAGCAAAACATAAGACCAAATTACTCCCTGTCGTTCGGATACAACATGTAGATAGAGACTTTAACGCAAGTGACTTATATGATTGTTTGTGCTCGCAAAATAAATGTATAGCAACTGCAGTAGCAAATGGTGTAGAGATGAAGATTTTCTTCTCGATACCTTCAGGTTTAGACAGAAGCAATCCTTGGATAATAAAAGTCTCTACTAAACTAAGACATACACTGTTCGGTTCCTCATAAGAATATGTTGGACTTCATGTCTCTCTTGTTTTGGACCACATAGAAATACGTCAGTGCTTTAACTGCTGCAAATTTGGCTATGTGGCCTCAAAGTGTGTTCTTAAGCAGCCAGCATGCAGTCACTGTAATGAAGAGGGCCATATTTACAAAAATTACATGAACAAGAATAATAGTGCCTATATCAAGTGCGTTAATTGTGTCCGCTGGTCTCGGTACTCAAAAATTCATAACTGCCAAGTTCAGCATCAGGATACAGATCCAAACTGTCCAAGATTGATATCAGTAAAACACCAATAACTGCTAAACACGGCTACTGATCTTTTCTTGAATTTTATGCAACTGAATCTGAAACATTCCAAAAATCATACTGATACTCTGATGCACTCCCATTGATATACATTTACTCCAAGAACCATATACTTATAGGTGTAACAGGTTTTCAAGTATTTGCAGCTGATAAACCAATTCCCTTGGCATGTATTGTAATATGTAATTCTAGCTTCCCAGTTTTGATGCTAAATTAGATTATTGACAATACTTGTGTTGTGGTTACCCTTTCGTTGGATGAAAAAATTTATTACATCTGCTTGCTATTGTCCATTAAATGACCCACTTGAAGACACACTACTTTCTCTTGACCAACTGCTTCAACTTATTCCACCATCCAAATTTATTATACTGTAGTTGTAGACTCCAATACCGGGAGCTATTCTTCGTATGACGTCGTTGAAAATGGACGTTGGCGATAATTTGAGGTGTTTACTAATACGTACAATTTATATGTTACTTGCAGATGAACCCGGCATTACCCGGGCAAAAAATAACAACAAAAAAGATTAAGATTATTAGTTTATTTTCTACTTCTAACCCTTCTATTATATTATATTATATAACTACAAACGTTATCTTACGTAAGGGTTCATCACACCGAGTGACCAATCTAACACATTTTAAAAATACCTTATTCCTTCACTGTACACAATTTAAAGATTTTTTCTAGAACATGTACTGTACAGTACTACTTTTTCCAGGTAGACACAAAAACACAAGATTGGACACTAACTCGTAACACCGTCACGATAACTAAATATGTACGCTTAAAATAAATTTAAATGATTCTAAGGAACTAAGAAATGTTAACTCTAAGAAACTGTGCCATTTACAGCCGAATATCAAATGGTAATCTGCCAACCAATCAAATTTCGCAAAAAACGGACTATATATTTAAACTCGGCACCCTCGAAAACCACTTGAATCATATTTTGTGCATAGGAGGCCCGTATTAATTAACTATATACGAACTTTATGTTTGGACTGGAAGTCACGTTACTTCAAGATTTTCCCCCATAAATTTTACGTAGATAACCGACACGACCCTATTGCTAACAGCAAAAGTATGATTTATAGAGGCAAGACACCACTAAAAGAACTCAGAACATAGCGACGAAACGTTGCAGCCCGACAGTGTGACGATATCGCAATAAGTGGTCAATAGAATTAGTTCGATTTATTTGGTTACGGTAACGCGACACGTGAGCGATCTGCCAAGGGGATGCATTCCGGGAATTTTTTTATAAGAAGCTGGACCCTATTTAGGTGTTACTAACGTGAAGAAAACACAGAAAACTACCAGAGTTCGATGGTTTTATGCACTCGGCTACTGAAGGACATATATTAGAATTAAGAAAGAACCGTTCAGAAATAACAAAAACCTCGACTTGTTAGATGTTGAAAATTAATTACTCTGACTTTTTATGGGGTAACGCTTTCGATTCCACACAGACAAGTGCTATATGCCATCTGTCTCATTAATTAATGATTATAGCGCTGTATCATTGAGGGTGTAATTAAGTAAACATAATATATATTTTAAAATATATTCTTTTGTGTAAGAATTATATTTAGTTTAAAAATCCAATCGATATTTTGGGGTGGGGTGATAGAAATATGTAAACGTAACTGTCGAGTTTCATAGCAATTGGTCGAACGGTTTAGGTGTGCATAACGAACAAACATCCAAACAAACATCCTTATTTATATATATAGATTATGAACCAAATTCCAAACCATAATAGCCTATAGTAACAAGTCATTAAAATTAATATTTACCAATCGAGTTGTAGAATTTGTCTATTTATTTTCACTCCTTTTAAAGGATGATGAGTTTACCGTACCTATTATGGATTAGGCAGGTCAACAATAGAAAAGGGCAGGTAAAAAGGAATTTGACCCAACATATTCACCGACGAAAAATAACCTGTCCGGATTTATCCGGAAATATTTTTAAAATAAATTTACTTATTTACTAAATATTAATAAATGTTTAATAATAATATATTTTAAACAATATTTATTAATTATTTTTAAACTGCCGACTGTGTCGGTTTGGTTGTAAGAGGGCGTCTTTTCTTCATTTACATAAATTTACGTCATAAAAAACTATTCAACCAATCGAACGCGTTAAAATCCCGTCGCCTCCTAGCGGAACAGGTATGAAATATAAAACAGACGATAATGTGAGACAATTCATTAAACATGAATTTTTATTTATATTAAAAAATTAATGAATTTTGAAAATGAATTGCAAAATCTTAAGATTGAAAGAGTAAGTATGTGTTTTACTTATTAGAAGCATCAGTAAAGGTGAATTTTTTCCTTTTATACGCCATTTTGAAACAATATAAGTTAAGTAATAGTTAACGAAGACAAAAATTTAAATCTAAACAACATAATTTGGTTAACTTTTACTTATGTGCACCGTCATGGCGGCGGTCCCGACTGTTTGTGCTCCCGACGGACTCCTCCCGGAGGGGAAGGACGGCCTGCAGGCCGCCGATTGTTTAACGTTATTATTATTATTGATTCACGTTAGTTCTTGAACACGCGAGTAGATATCAATTCAAGTCCGTCGGGAGCACAAACAGTCGCGACCGCCGCCATGACGGTGCGTATAGGTAAAGATTGACCGATAATTTGTAGTTTAAGCAAAGATCTTGAGAATAATGAAGATAGTGAAGAAAAGATTAGTTTGAAAGGTTGAAGACATTTTTCCTTCTATTTAAACCGAAAATAATGGCATTGTAATGGTGACATGACGATTCGGATGTGACGCTATCCGAAATCATCCCAAAGTTGTGGCGAATAATCTTCTGAAGGGCCATATTAACGGCTATAATCCTTTCCACGTTTAGTTAGTAGGACAGTCCTGCAGATCCTCAGTGTCACTGACAGTTAGAATTTTACCAAAGTCTTTTAAAATTTAATTTTAAAGAAATAGAATTTCGAACTACAAATTATCTTATTTAAATTAATTAAATCAAACTTAATTTATATTTACCAAATAATTCCTTCACTGTACACAATTTAAAGATTTTTTCTAGAACATGTACTGTACGGTACTACTTTTTCCAGGTAGACACAATAACACAAGATTGGACACTAACTCGTAACACCGTCACGATAACTAAATATGTACGCTTAAAATAAATTTAAATGATTCTAAGGAACTAAGAAATGTTAACTCTAAGAAACTGTGCCATTTACAGCCGAATATCAAATGGTAATCTGCCAACCAATCAAATNTTATTCTCAAATTATATTTATCACACCTTATTACAGGAAAGGTCTACTTGCCCTGTTATAGTAGTGTCTACACTACTATAACAGGGCAAGTAGACCTTTGACCTTTGACGTTGTTGTTGAAACTATTTTGACCTTCTGGAAGTTCCCTAGAAACTCCAGTTTCACATTACAAAGGCTTCGACAGTATAGGCTCTATATTACAAATTATTCACTGTATTATATTTCTTGCATATTGAAAAGTAATATATTTTTTAATAAGTTTGTTCCTCAATAGATCTCTTTTGAAGCTTAAAATATACGGAACTTAGATTGTTTGTAGAAAGAACATTGCATATGTATACGAAACTTGAAGTACAGTATTGAAAAATATTTTCCAACACGTTTCATTCATCTTTGCAATTGGAAAGTTATTTCTTACCATGGAATCACCTATACGAATTATGGGCCACTTAACAAATTTAATTATATAGAGTAGGCTGTAGAGCATAGCCACAGATACATTCCCCTGAGATCAAAGGCTTCTGATGTGTGCTGTACAGTACCTTACCCGCTTTTCCATAGTCTTAATCCTTGCTGTAATCTGTTAAATAGTAACAAGAACTGAAACGTCTACAATACAGAACTATAAACTCGATAACGTAACGAAATACTTCTTCGTATCTTATAAACAGATTACTTAGAAAGTTGTCTCGGTTGTATTTTTATTCGTATAAAATCTTTGTAGCAACGTTGAAAACACATAATATATCCTCTGTAGTTTGCTAGAATCCAATTTCTGAGTATTCTGCTCGGTTAAATCTACTTATGATTTCTTGTTTACTTCGAGAACTTATAACTCTCTTTACATAAAAAGTAATTTAATTGGATTTTGAATACCTCATAAAATACAATCAAAACTTTATTAAAATTATAAATTTAAGATTAATTCTATAATTATTATTTAATATTATATTATTTAAAATACACGTATATAAATACAAGAGAGTTATATTTTTATTTCACTAGATGGCATAACGTATCTATATATATACAGTTGATTCAAAAAACTCTTTATAATTTATAAAAGAATCTTTTCTTTTCTTGGTATTTTAATGATTCGTATTTAAGAATAAAGTTAAAATTCGCATTAAATTAGATTTTCTGAGTCACCCCCAAAGAATTTTATACCATAATGCGGTAAACACGTGTCCTCCCTGTACACGTGAATACACGACAGGATAAGTACGTGAATGCTCGCATCCCACGTGTTTGTATATCCACGTGTCTGTATCGATACTCGATTGCACTAGTGGCTAGATTATTTTTAACATTTATCAACGTTCCTTTATATTTTTAATGGATCTTTCTCATGAAATTACATAATATATGTCGTAAATTACACGGAGTTTAATTGCAGGTGTGTAGGAAATGTTCGTGCGAGTGTGTAAAAGGTATATAATTCTAGATATACTTTTTTTAAATTTATTCCAACTCTTTATAATACAATAAAATGTTCTTATATACAAATATTATTACTAAACCGTTTATTTTTTATTGAACATTCAACAAATTTAACTGTTTCGTATAACACATAACATATATATATATAAACTGGAAGATCCAGCTGCCAGTTATAAAATTCCACTTATTTGTAAACAATAATAAGCCTTTCGTTGTCGAGTTTGATTTGCATAAAACATCATTAGGATGTATTAAAAACACGTATAATCATACGTTCATTCCCATATAATTTCTTGGAATGTCAACTAATTTGCATAGATTCTAAGGAATGTAAAAAGATAGAAAAATTCCCTTAATATAAACTACACCTTTTTTTTTTCTTTTAAATGTGTAATAAATAAATAAATATCTACAAAAATATAATTTACAACGGACGTGTTTCTGTTTACAAAAATAGTATCGTCGAAATACATAATAACATTTACATTAATTACGTAAAAATAATTAATCCGTTGGGCTTTAATTATTGCTGTATTTCATTTTTTTTAGATTTGTAATAACGTTTGTGTCTATGAAAGACTTATTTGATAATATAATTTCGATGATTTATGCCATTAAAAACCGTCAGTTTTACCATTTTTTCTATAGTCAGCGTTAGCGTGTAATTTACCATCTTTGCTTCGATGAATTGCCATCATGACTGACATTCTTCCAACGTTCTCTTCGGTTTCGTGACCCAATTCTTGTAATTTTCTCAGAATTTCCTATAAGATTTATTAATATATAACATAATTTGTAAATAATAATTGAAAATCTGGCGAGATTTGTAATACAGTCGACCCCTCTATAACACTGTTGACAATTCCGTTTTATATGAATTCCATGTTGTACGAGTCACTTAGATTTTACAAATACGTGAGCCGTTCACAACACGGCACACGTACTTGTAAAATCTAAGTGACTCGTACAACATGGAATTCATATAAAACGGAATTATCAACAGTGTTATAGGGGAGCCGGTACTTACTTTAGGAAATACTTTTTCGTGAATGATATGATCTGGGAATAACTGATGATGTACTCGAGGCATATCTATTGCTTTCTTAACGTCCTGGTCTAACCATAACAATTGCATTGCTATCTAAAATACAAAAAGAAATACTTTTAGATATTGTTAAGTAAGGTTTTTTTTTTCTTTATTTTAAAATATATCTATTGGCATTTCTACTTACTAAAGCTATGCCACTAGTGATTCGAGATCCGCCATTTCCTCCTATAACCAACCACGTCTCTCCTTTGTCGTCTAGGATAATAGTTGGACTCATAGACGACATCGGTCTTTTTCCTGGATTAATTCGATTCCTCTCACTGGGTGGAAGTCCAAAATAATTTGTGATATTCGGAAGAGAAAAATCATCCATTTGATTGTTCAATACAATGCCAGTTGAAGGAGATATAAATTTCGAACCAAAACTAAAGATTAAGAAAAGTCATTTGTATTTTAAATTCCATTTCTTAATTTATTCTTAATATGTATTGTGAAAAAGTGAGCTTAATCTTTTTCGGATTGAGCGTGTTAAGGGAAGGAACACGAGAGACTCAATAGAAAAAGATGACATTATGACACCATAGACAAATAGTATGCTCAGTTATAAAGGCAACAATATGCTTAGTATACTTAATATAATGCTAAACAAGTTATGTCTATATTTAAAATTTGAAACTCACTATAAATTAATGGAGCTGGTTACCGATACAGCATCTCCATTCGGTGATATAACTGACAAATGTCCAGTTCCTCCATCTTCTTTAACGTATTGTTTGAATCCGTAATATTCCGGATCGTGAATAGTTTTAGTATCGTAGATTTTTGCACGAGTTTCATCGGCGTAACTTCTGCTTTGTAAATTTTTAACAGTCTAAAATAAGAAGCATTAATTTAAAAACAAAACATTGGCAATTCAATAAGGATAAAATGGACATTAAGAAGGATACCTGTTTGACGGAATGGTCACCATTCTCTTCTAGATTCATTCTTTGAGCGTATGCAAATTTAAATGTTTCTAATGCTCGATGGAACGTTAAAGAAATTTGATCCAAGTTTCTCCAGTTGGCTTCTTTCGTTAAATTGTAACCATCTAAAACATTGAGCATGTAAGATAATAAAGATCCACTTCCTGGGGGTGGTGCGCTATAGACTGTAAAACCATTATTTAGTGAAATTTTAGTTGGTCTCCTCCAAACTGGCGAATACGTTTGCATATCTTTTTCGGTTATAATTCCTCCTGAAAATAAAAATTTGTGTCCTTCGACAAACATTTCTTAAAATTTATATACAGGGTGATCCGAAAAGTCAGTTCGTGTTTCGTGTGCTCCAAAACACACTCGTGAATGTAAATGTCGTGTTATTCTTTTACAGTTTAGTCTTTAAACCGGTTAACTGACTTTCGAGCTAGCCTGTACGTAAAATATTTGATAATTTTACCGTGTTTTGCGATATCTTCCAAAAATTTTCTTTGTGTCTCTCCACGTCCATACAGAACATCAGATTTGAAATTTGCTATTTTTTCCAAAGTGTCTGCTAGATCTAATCTTTTCATTATTTCCCCTTCTTTATACAGGTCTCCTGTTTCGTTATTAAAATAAACATTCCTGTAAAATCAAATAACATTTTCAATATACTGAATAGATCTATCATCGTGTATCAGCTGTACTCATGGAGGTGTTTTTTTTATAAGTACTTTCACGGTTTTATGGTTTTGTGATGTATTATTTTACGCACTACCAACCTCAAAGTCGTTTCATTTAATACAATATCACGAGTCTCTTCTAAAGCCATTGCCAAATGACGAGTGACTTCAAACCCTTTTCTACACAATTCAATGGTTGGTGTAAATAATTCTTTCCACGTCAAATTTCCTTTATATATATCGTATGCTGCTTCGTAACCTGATAGTTCTCCTGGAACAGCAACTGCTAATCCACCTGTAGTTAAATATATATTAAAAAAATATATTCTTTTTAGGTTATATCTACGTTGTAAACAATACAATTTGACCCCCAAAAAATCGACTCGAGGACCAAAGCCAACGTTTCGAAAATAAAATTTTGGTGAGTCACGAAATGAGTCAGATGTTAAAAAGGATTTTTTTACATAAATTCAATAAATATAAGCGAAACATTTTGGTTTATTTAAAGCACAATGATTCGAATCTCGAATTTGGAGTGGTTTATTTAAAAACTTTGACACATCATCATTAAAAAATCCCGGCTCGATCATCGATACGGCTCGAAGAAATCGAATTATTTCTAATATAAATACATTTAAGCATATAATAATAATTTAATTATAAAGTTTAACATCATTACCTATCTGAGAACTTATGGGATCTCCATTAAACATGTTTTCCGATGCAGCTTCTGGTGCTACTTCTCTAGCATCTAACACTTTTACTTCGTCTTCCTTCCTACAAATTTACATAAAATAACACATTAAATGAAATAATAAACAGTATAAGAAGTTTTATTCACTTACTTATCATAAATAGTCATGATAAATCCACCGCCTAATCCCATACTGTGACTATTTACAGCACCCATACACACTAAAGTAGCGATGGCTGTTTCGACTGCATTACCATTTTTCTTTAGAATATCTCTAAAAAAATACGTAAATAATTATTTAAATAATTAATTAATACGATTATTTTAATTGTATATTGACTTACTTCCCTATTGTTGCGCATGGTTTCGTGTCTGTACTTATAGCTGCACGCTCGTAAATACCTAACTCAGAATTAGAAGGTTTATACAGTTGATCGAAGGTGTCATCATCACTCTCTTTTGACGTTTTCGTATTCCACGTCAGCACAAAATAACTTATAAATCCGGACAATAGTAATAATACGATAAATGCCAACACTCCGAAACAGATTTTACCACGTTTAGAGAAATTAAGTCTGAAAATATAAGCGTAAGTAATTAAAATAAAGTATAAAAATATATATGACACTCGAGTCATTTAGCCTTCACCTTTCTTCCTTCTTTTCATTGTTTGGTATAAACAATTTAAACGTAAATTATATATTATTATCTGTAAGTTTAGTCTGTCCCTCTGTACAGGATTAACGTTCACTTGAGTAAATTTAAGCATTGTGGGGGATAATAGAAGATAGCCCATATCCTAGGGCCCTCGTCATTAATGGGGGCCCCTAATTAACATGTAATTGATTATTATTATTAATTAAAGACTGCGTTAAAAAGTAATTAATCATTTCAACAGCTGAATTACATAAAAGTACACTAATACGATAGAGAACTTGGTGCCTGACACACGGCTCTATGATTAATTAATATAATTCTTACTGCCAAAAAACGAAATTTTCGTGTAATATCATTAATCAAAATAAGTAGAAAATGTAATTTAATTAAATATATATATGTTTTTTTTTTTTTTTTAAACCAGACGTTCAAAGTTTGCAGGAAATACCATATAACTTGACCTTTAACCGGTCATTTATAGGTCACCAACAGGTATCCAGTTAACGGAAAGACGATCAAAGTGTTATCGAAATGACGGTTTTTTTTTAATATGATTAAATTATCTTTGATAAAATTATATCAAGGGATGGTCCAAAACTCAGTTTACCGAGTATTGTTTTGTATTACAGCGTTTTTAGTATTTACTGTGGTTAAGTGATTTTTGAGCCAATCGAAAGAATCGTGTATAATTTACCTTATCTGAGCCGTTATAAATAAATACAGGTCAACTGTTCGTAGACATTTTTATATGCTTTATTGAAAAACAAGGGTTTTTTTTTAGATCATAAAGGGTAAATTTAGAATCGATTTGGGGGAATTTTGGGGAGACAATTTTCCCTATTTAAATTACGACACAGTAAAGATAATTATGTTTCAATATATCTCATTTTTTTTCTTATCAATAAAGATAAAGTATCACTTAAAAAAGAAAAAAACAATATTAACACAGGAACTAACGGTAGATAGCTGTTACCTAGATTATTATTATTACTTTTTTTTACATTTTTTATAACTCTTATCACCTGTTAAAAACAAGAAAAATATGGTAACTGTTATAGCTCGGAAGTAAAAATAAATAGCACGCACAGACACACGGACACACACACACACACTTGCTGTACCATTGCCAACAACCACTCATCTTTAATTTTGAATAGAATTTAAGCTTCTTACTTTAAAGCCATTCTGTACGAGCGAAATTTCACGTATTTTAAATTGCTATTTTAATATTTTCTCGTCCTATTTATTATTATTATTTAAAGAAAGAAAAAAAAATAATAATAGAAATATATCCTAGTTTGTGTCTTAAATTATACACCATCCTCTTTTATAGTTAAACCAGTATTTCACACATAAAAGGGTGGTTCAAAAGTGTGTTAACCATAAACTAAGTTTAGGACTGAGATATTTTTCTTGCAAACGTGATTTTGTATTAAAATATAGGCTGGACCAAAAGTCAGTTAACCCGTTTTTTTGTATCATTTTGTTTTCTTTAAATTGTTAGGGGGGAAAGTTTTGCGAGTATACAAACACACACACCTAATCAGGAATGAATTTATTATTACTCGTATACTTTACTTTAACACGCTAATTTAACTAAAAATAAATGCTCGATTGATAGACGGGATGATAATTTTGCAAAATGCTTACCCTATGGGCTCCTTAACTGCTATTAAAAGCTTTTTCTTCCACCTTAAACAAGCCATAACCTTAACATACTTCAACCTTACACGAGGATTGATTCCGCTCTTTTAAAAAGCTAACCTCTCGATCTCAGCGCCTCCATCCTTCCCTTCCTACCTCGACGTCACCGGTAGCTGTGACGTCACAGAGGAACGGGATAATGGCCTATGGAAACAAAGGTGATTCACACAGGGGGTGGGGAATCGCCCACGTTAAGGTAAACTCTACGTTACGCTCACCCCACCTTTTTTCCTATTTATTATTATTATTTTTTTTTAATACTTTTTTTTCTGTTGTTGTCCCCTTGCCAAGACCGAAAACGTGAGTCATTCGTAACAATTACTTAAACAGATCAAATCACTATTAACTAAATTTAGTCAAGTGTGCATTGAGTGCTTAAAGAGTTGATGCGGTATTATTGAATGTGGGTGGAAGATTTATAATGCCATATTTAGTTATAACCATTTAGATGTAGTTATATTATGTTAGAAAATAACGTTGGAAGTGTATTATTTTCAGACGTGCATTCTAAGATGTGACACTCGTTTAACAACCGGTAGGTCGCGACCCCTCTTTAAGGTATTCCCACGCCTTACAAATTGCGAAAGGTTGGGGAAATACCCCACCTAAACGATTAAAAATTTATCTTTGAAGCTTAAAGAATTTTATCTTTAACACGTAAAGAGGGGAACGTAACTCGTAAAAATTGTTGAGATAAATTTTAAACATTCCTCCCCCACACCCCGTGTTTTTTAAGTGTAATCAGTTATTTATACAACTTTTATGCCCTTTTTTCTATAGAAATTTGACGATAAAAGTCAACAGAAACAGAATTGTCGTAAGCACTTCAAGTGATGCTACGATATTAGGAAGTGTGAATGAAAGATAACGAGGAAATGGATAAATTAGAAAACAAATCATCATTAGAATTGATTGTAAGAATACGATAAACTTAAATATTTAATTCGTTTTTTTACACGAGTAATAATTATTGTTTACTAATACTTTTTAGTATTATTAACTGGTGTATTTTTAATAATAAATTTTGATAATTAAATTAAAACTTATAGTAATTTCATCCTCTCTTATCGTCTCTCCATTTGGGAGGATGGAGAGTTAAGAATGGTTATACTTCATTCCTCTCGAAATTTTTCAGATTTAAACTGTATTTTCTGTATATTCTTTCTCACAATTGAGCAAGATACTTCTCAAGATTAAATTATAATTGATAAGAGAGGGTTAGAAATAGAATTTTTGGTATTACTGGGGATATAAGAAGTTCTGTATGTATTTTGCTAGAGGACTAGTATAAACTCTTGTATGTAATAATAATAATAGTTTTTTTTTGTATAATTTACAGGGCTTATTAAAGATTGAGCTATTTTTATATTTATTATATGAACTTATCTAGTGTTCCCCCCTTTTCTTCCATATACGAGAGAAAGGAATATCTGAAAATTGGAACAGGAAGTGGCGAGAGTCCTACTTATGTCTTCTGTGAATGGGATTCTCATCTCTTCCTGTTATCAACGATACTGTCTGACCCTATTTAATTATCAATAACCCACCCTTATACTAGACTACACGGTGTTACTTCACTAACTAAGATGAATTTGTCTTAAACTACATGAAATTACAAACTAATCCCTAATCTGATGATAAAATATATATCAATCCCAAGGTATTTTTAAGGATTAGAACTAAGCTCTTCATTACTGTGTTTTGAAAATTATTTATAGAAAGGTCACAGAAAAGAGGACGAAGATAATTTCTCGTCAGATGTTTCAGTCTTGAACACGAATTTGGCATCATTTTTTTTATACTTTCTCGTGATCGAAACGTAACGAAAAAGTGATGTCTGGTCGGTGTGAAAGTGTGCAATGTTCCAATTAAACCAATAAACTCGGCTTCAAATTGTCACTAATAAATAAAAAGTTCACGGAAGTAGTACGAGAAAGGATAGAGTAATAAGTAACGATAAAGAATTAAATTAAGATTGCATTAAAAAAATAAGGAAAAATACATAAAATATCCCGAAAAATCGTGGGTTCACACGCACGATTTTATGTGGAGTTTTCCGGATTTTCTTCACTTTATAAACACCTAATTAGGGGCTAGTTTTCCATAGAAAGTACTTATCGCGGTGGGCCGTATACAAATACACCAAGCTTAAACGTTAAAACAGAAAAAAAATATATATATATATTGAAGATTCCCGATTTAATTTTCATTTCAAGTACAGAGTATTATATCAATTAAGAACAGAGAATCATCTATTACCTCTTTGTATCTCTTAATTAAGGATCTTTATACCCTAATTAATGAATCGATTTCAATTTTGTGTGTGTCTAAGTGTTTACCACCCTCTTCAAAGACTTTTAAGTGTTTTCTTGACCTCTGTATCTTCATAAATAACTCTCTCAATTTATAATTATTATATAAAGAAATTTTCTGTTTTCTTCTATTGACTGACACTCAACACAGTAAATACAATGGTAGGGTCTTACAACATGATGCATTTACAATAGAAAATTTATATTTTAAAGGTAATTTAAAACGATCTGCCCACCGAATTATTTTTACAATGTTTACTTTAATCTCGATAGTATATTTTGTGTGTTGTTTTTTACAATTCTATACCAAATGTAATTGCTTTTAAACTTACCAACCCAATAAGTTGAGTGTAAATATCATTTGTTACAAGAGCCATTTGCTATAAAACACTTTGCAAAAAGAATTTAATGGACGTAGAAAAATAAGTTGTGGCAATTATTCTCTTCAAACATATTTCGAATCGAATCGATGTGGACAAGAAATACACACAAGTGCTCTACAAATAAGAGTTAATTCCCTACAATGTTTGTGGTAAGATATTCTAGAATAAACGATCAGACGAATGAAAGAAACCAATTTCTTTCTAAAAAATAAGCAATAATCTTTCTTTATATTAAATAAATTACCTTAGAAATATGTATTTTGTGGAATAATTTAATTAATTTTACAATCATCTTTGAGGTGTAATTGTTGTAAACACAGGAACAAGTGGTTTCGAGTTTTAATGTAAATTGTTTCTTCTTACCGTCTATTCACATCTTCACATCATTTTCCTATTTTCTCAGGCTCTATCTCCTTAACAATTGTAAGGATTGCAAAAACAATACAATAGAATAGTGTGTCTGCCCTTCCTTAATCTCAAGAACGGAGTTAGCTATATAAAAACTGAGATAATATATGG